TCCAGCAGAGCCTTGCATTTGCATGGAAGCCTTCAGAAGTGACGATGCTGACAAGTGGAAGACAGCAATGAAATGCGACGTCGACAGCCCCAAGACCAAAAACCCTTGGGTTGAGGCAAAACTGCCACCGGGTAGACGAGCTGTGGGCACGAAATGGGGATTTAAGGTCAAACATGAAGGTGGACAGCAGCAGGATAAAGTGAGACTAGTGTCCAGGGCTCTTCGCAGATCGAGCGGGAAATCATCACGCGATGTATGTGCTGGTCTCTTGACTGATCACCCTCCGTTCCGTAATCGCTTTGGCCACCTTGAACAATCTGCACCTCCGCATCGTCTATACATCGAGGCCGCCTACCTTGACGGCGAGTGCGAGGATAGAGTTTACCTCGAACCACCCGCCGGAGAGTAATACTCAGCCAGCAAGCACTTGGGTTTGCGCAAGAGCGTTTACGGAGTACGTCAAGTGGGTCGGAACTGACACATTAAGCTCGATGGAATCCTACTGTAAAGCGGCCTCACTAATGGCAAAGGAGAGCAATTTCTATACACGCGTGTGCGATCAATGTTAATTCCATGGCCTTGGTGACTTACGTTGACGGCAGCATCATCGCAACCGAGTATCAGGAGTTGTCCCCTCGACTTCGGGACCTGCTGCTCAAGCTCTTCCGCATCAAGGGCCTCAGACCCCCTCAACACTGCCTCAATCTCAGATTCTGATACACAACATACACTGGCAATAGCATTGTCGACCAGGCGACCAACGCAAACTCGATACTTCGAATGTTTGACATGGAAGAGTGCAAGGCTGTCGCAACTCCCGCTGCCAATGCGTAGAGGGAAGTGAATACTAGCGAGACGATCGAGCCCAAGCATTTCTACCCTGCACCTCGGAAATTTGCTCTATTTCGCACTCGGGGCACGGCTTGACACGGTTTATTCGGTCGCCAGGGCCAGGTAGGACAGATCGGAACCAAGGGCAGCAGTTCGACATGCTGCCAAGAATACCATGGGGTACATCCGAGGGACCTGCAATATCAGGGTCGAGTATAAGCGCACCAACAGGACGAACCTAATCGGCTTGTGTGATTCAGACTGAGCAAGCGGAAAGGACAGGAAGTCTATGACGGGCTTTGTGTTCTCCATCCCATCGGACACCATCAGCTAGTTATCGCGAAGGCAGAGCAAGGCCATAGTTTCTTCGCAGGAGGAAGGACTGACGGCAGCAAGTGAGGCGATTTGCAAGGCAGCTTGACTGCAGAAGGTTTTTTAGGCGTTGTGTACTCCGATGATGACAGTTATCAAAATCAACCACAATGGCGCACTGCACCACATCCTCAGTAATCCAAAGCATACAAGAAGCAAGCACAATGATGTCGACTCAAGTATGCTCGGGAAGTACACAAGAGCAGCACTGTCGCGTTCGAGAAGGTCGACAGCAATGCCAATATCGCTGACCCATTTACCAAGCCGCGCTGCAGAGTACGCAGTTGAAATCGCATCGGGCGGTACCCGGTGTCATTGCCTGTACCAGACCAGCTCTGGCTGCCAAGGAGGAGCGACGCAGGAGCAGCGGTAGCGCGGATGTCCGAGCCAACGGGGCCAAGCACGTGAAAGCAGCACAGCCCATAGAGAACCATCGAACGTGATGGAAAGTTCAAGAGCAAAGAACAAGCTACAGTAGCTGCACTTGAAAGCCACCATCTTGAGGTTACATATGGAGCTGTGCGCAGCTCCCAGAGTTCGTGTAACATAGAGACCAAATACGAGGCCAGAGCATCTTATCTTGGTCATAATGGGCCACCCCTTCAATAGTAACAAGGCGCTCGCATGCCAGGTGAGAGTATCCACAACGTCAACAATCCATCCTCATCCCAGGGGAAATACGACAAATGCCGCTATCGCTTGCTTTCAGTTATACAGACTCAGCGTATGAAAGTCAACTGCGCGGTTGTGAATGGCACCAAGAACGCTTGACATAGGTACATCTTGCTCGCCGGACAAAACATCAATGGTCTTCTAGCGATGATGGATAAATGATTTCCATGTAATGTTGCAACCCCCCAACGCCAGGGCCATCCTTCATAAGACCGGGTTATATGGAGGGCACATTTTTGCATTCGGCTACCTACTAGCCAGTTCATCTGTGCGCACTATCTCTTTGCAACCAGTGGCAAAGAGGCTGCCAAGGAGTCTACACTTTATTCTTGAATTATGTGGACTCGACATTAACAAGATCCAGGCTTCTCTTGCATTGTTCTTTAGAGCACTAGGCCAGCGAGCATACTCTGGCCCTCGATAGACATGTTCGCACCATACTCTCGCATTCACCCCTACCAAGTTTCAATCAAGGGTAACCAGTCATCGCAGAACCTATTTATCGTATAAATACACGCATCAACTTCATTCTTCATGTCTCTGTCTGTTTCCTAAAGAAATATACTTCGTTTGTCTACTTCACATCTAGAATTGTTGTCCCCTTGATTGGTGTGAAGTCCGGGAGATGCTCTACCTCTTGAAATCTACACGAAGGGCCCCCGCCTCACGGTTCTCCCGCTACACACTCAGGTTGAACGTCAGCCTCGCCGCTTCCATCTCATAATTCGGCCAAGAGGGCCTCACTTCACTACTGGTCTCAGCCGAGTGATGCAGTAAATAAATAAGCTGAGTTTAGTTTCTGCCAGCGAAAATGCCATGTCTAGGGTCCAACAGCGGTAGAAAAGGAAAATCCAAGTTTGCTTAAGCTACCGCACATAGTATCACCAATTCTCCTGATACCCATATCATCGCCCTTTCAAGGCTAGGATGCGGTGGGGAGGTTGGTTAGCGCACTCTCAGCTACCCGACAGAGGTTCAGCCAAATTTATCATAGATTCTGGGGAAATCCCTCATGTCGCCAAGGAGACGCACGCCATCTCCGACTTGTGCGCACCCGGTCTCTCAAAACCGCACTTCGTGCTAATCACTGATAAGCGGCAGAGACTCAAAGTCGAAGGTGTTGGCAGAAGCCAGCTTAGTGAGTCTCGAAACGTAGTGTCTAGATCCCAGTCATACGTCTCCTAGTCCTACTTGTTGATGCAAACAGGTTCATCAAACTCTTCACGCGCCTGTTTCCTGCCACCGAGGATCACTTGCGCTCTGGGGATGGGCACAAGTTCGTTCACGAGTCGGCAGTGGTAAGGATGAAAGCTGCTGCGGCGCTGATGCAGCTTGAGGCCTTTGTCCCACTTCTGGACTATCTCCAGGACCTTTGCCAGTCGCTTCAGTTGCCTGTCACGCCTGTAAACGACGCCAATAACGTTGATGAGGCCGAGTGAAGTCAGATAGTCCCTTTCCGTCCTTGCAAAAGGTGGACGATCCAAGCGGCATTCTGGAACGATGGAGTCTCTCCGGTTATCGTCCGTAGTGGCTCTGGTGTGGCAGCGAGCTGCACGGTTGCCTGGCGGAGGGTGAAAGCCGGCGTGTATGACACTTTCTGAGGGACAGGAAGGAAGTGCTCAGCCTAGATATGCTGAATAAACTGTAAGCAATGGTGGTGCGCCATCTATAGTAAGAGAAAGAAAAGCAAGTGTGGTTACAACCAGATGGCGTTGCATGTGCCGATGCAGCAGTTCTGCTCTCTGAACAAGCGACACTTGCGGAGATCGTGTTGTAATCGGAATGATGCAAATGTAGATTGACTGATATCATTGGCAAAAGAAGCTGTGCACAGGAGTCTCTTCGTCCTGGCTTGCACCCCATACCTTTAACGGACCATGCTCAACAGAGAAGTTGGCGTTCCCGTCTTGGCGCCGCTGGGATACTTGTGCCTCGAGGCAAGGGCAGCGTCGAAGGCGCGGGGCGGCGGAAAGTCGCTGGATACGTGAAAAGTGAGTGTGCCAGACTTTGCTGGTGGCTCTGCAAGGGAAAGAAAGATATGAATACCGAGAATTACGATGGCGGAAAGCGCTTTCCTGGTTTCATGTGCGTTCGCGAGGGACTCACCATTTGCATCAACAGAAACGGTAGCACCGCTTGCAGCACTGGTTATGTGACTTGGAGGAGCGGACCGAGGCGCGGCTGGGGCATATGCTGTCGGTGCGGCTGGAGGGGTGGGTGGAGGTGCGCTCCGTGACGGCGGTGGCAGGGGTGGGAGTGCGGCTGCACGCAAGGGAGGCGGTGGGACGCGGTTAGGCGTTTGGGATGTAGGACGCGTGGGGATCTGAGGGTGAGCTGGAGGGGCACGATCTACTGTTGCTGCAGGCGTGGTTAGCCTACTGGGTGGAGGAGGAGGCTGGGAGGGAGCCGCAGGTGGCGCTGCAGACGGCCGCGAAGGGGCGGCACTGCCAGGTGCTGGTGGTGGTGGTACGCGAGCTGGACGAGCAGGGCTGACAGCGGCTACCGGTGGTGGCAGCACGCGAGCCGGAGGCGCTCTTGGTGCAGAGGCCTTTGGAGGCGCAGGGACGGTGCGTGGCGGCTGCGGGGGCGCAACCGGCGGGGGCGGCACACGTGCAGGAGCGGATGGTGCGCCTGCGGTTGATGGCGGTGCGGGCGGTGCTGATGGTGGTGGTGGTGGTGGTGGAGCTGGCGGGGCCGGTACCGATCGAGGTGGTGGAGGTACGGCGCGAGGTGGTGGAGGTGCGGTAGCAGATGGTACAGCTGAAGTTTTCATGGGTGGTGGGATTCTGGGTGCTGGACCAGTCGGCGGGCGTGCTGCCCGAACAGAAACAGTGACTCGTCAGCACATGCACGAATTTGCATGAATGAGTACCATCAATTTCTCACGTGGAGCTGTTGAGGCCGAAGCACTTTTCAGCTTTGGCATACCACCAGCGAATAACCCACCCAACCCAAGGGGGGCGGCCGGAGCAGCAGAAGTAGCTACGGCGCCGTCCGTAGCGGCACGGCCAGCTCCTGTGGGGCGCGGGATTGGAGCAGAGGGATGGCTCGGCGCCACCAGTGATGCTTGCCCTGCAGGTCTCCCCGTAACTGCAGGGCCTGACCGATCATTTGTCTGGGCTTCTAAATAAAAGAAACAATAGTTATGATGGTTAGCATCGCACGGTATCATCACGACCAGACAGACATCGCTCTGGCACTCCATGGTCGCATGATGATACTCACTTTTGAGAGCTTTGCCTCGTTTGATGGCTTCTTGCAAACTGCTATCCATGATTCTCCACTTGTCTGTTTGTGGAAGATGCTCCTGTTCTATGGGTGGATGTGACGATTGAAGCGCGCAGCAGGGCTACAATCCTTGGATGATGAGGGGGTGCAAGTAGATACTTTGCAGTCGTATCCAGTCAACCCTTTGGATGGCCTAGTCGTCGGTGATGCAGGCGAGGCGATTATAGTCGAGCATGTGCCGCACAGAATCAGACTTAACTCGGAAGCAGTGAGTGAGAGGAGCTTGTGGTCGCAGGTACAAATGGATGATGCCATGGCCTGATATATGATCGATGGTCCCTACAACGCCGTATACTAGCTATTATTATATAATGCGGTGCGTTCCGCACCGCCCACTGCACGACATCGTGACCAAAGAAGCCGTCCAGTCTTGACTCATTCACCTGGGTCACTTCTGACTTCTATGACGAGTGTCACAATAACCCTTCTCACCTTTTCTCAGTGCCGAAAGCTGCAGAAAAGAAATGCAAGAATATGGCAGCCGATAGACTTGGCAGTGCTGTCATGCTGCTGACGCCGGTGCGCCCAGGCTAAGCTGCTGGATACAGTCGGCGACCCACATCTCACAGCTTTGCACTATGAGCAGTGGCCAGTACATACATGATCGAGTATTGTGTCCATTCAATGCGTAAAATACAGTGTGTCCAATGCTGGAACGTAGGCGAGAGGAGTGAGGATGGATCTGAGCAAGTATGAGATCGTAATCACTCCGTAAAAAAACCATGCATGCATCAGTCGAGAATAGCAACCCAGCCACGGAGCAGCAGAGGCTCGATCTCGCTCCGCCGAACGCGCATCGGCTCGCCTTTGCGCAGGTTAAGCGTTCCGCCTTCCGTCATAACGTCTGCTGCATCGACCTGGGCCACGACGGTGACCATAAGTTCCTTTGGTGGGCCAGGCCCTGCCGCATCTGAGCTGAGAGATGCACAAATATCCATCACATCCAGGTATTCCCCCTTGAAGGAGGTGACAAGTGCGGCGTATGATCGAAGCGAGGAAAGCTCCGCTGGAGAGAGCTTGTGTCGCAGGCCTTGCGAGCCGCCTTGGTCATCGTTCAGCACGAGATCTAGTGTTCCGCCGGTACTCCACAGACGCCTCTGCAGCCACTGCATGCGAAAGCGATGGTAGGCAAGAAGACATCGCTTGTTGCGCAAGGCGGAAAGGTGATGGGTGACGAGTTGTGCCGCCAAAGCTGGGTTGCGATCTGCCTCGTCTGCGCCTCCGGGCACGTTGGACAGGAGCGTGTTGATGATCTCTTGCAGCTGCCGCGTCTCTAGCATGACCATTCGCACCAGCTCATCGCTGCAGGAGAGTAGAGTGACCCGAGTCAGTCTTCTTCGCGCTCGGGCTGTGCTGCTGCGGAAGGCAACGCGACGTGCTCACTTGTAGGGCCGGATGGTGCCTGTCGCCTCGCTGGATCTGCATTCTGCAACGAGAGAGAGTCCGAGGTCGCCAAACATTTCAGCGATCCATGTCTGCACTTTGCAGTCGCCCTGTCCTATTTTAAGATACGGCGGGTGTAGGCGTCTGTCTGAATGTCTTTGGTCGGTATGACAATTGTTTGGCTGATGAAGGGCTCAGCTGCATGAACCTATAAATGCCAGCAGAGGTAAAGCAGTCGGTAAAGAAGCAGTGCTGTATGATGCGCGAATAAGAGAAACGCGTTGTGGCGCGTGTGAGCTTCTGTGGCACACAAAAAACGAAAACGCGTCGCGGTAACGTTTAGAGCTCGTGACGAACTAGGGTTGCCACCCCCTCACCCATGATGCAAATCAACGATCAAGGTGGCTTAAGCGCAGCATAGAGACAGAGTGAGAGACCCTTTAGGCAAACGGCTGACGGCTGGGCTGATCAGTTGAGAGACTCCACAGCGCCGTTCTCGCTTTTGGTGGTGCTGCAGGCTCAACTGCGCATTGTAAAACACGAACAGAGAAAGCTCTCGTGCAGCGCGGGTAGACCGGCCCTTCAGCGTGCTCGCTGCCGTCCAACCTGCGCTCGTCTCGGTCAAGTACAACCCATATCTAGCTTATATATGCACCATCAGGATCGTACTTGGAGTCGTGGTGCAGCCTTTGCTTCGGAACTACACCCTCATTGCCTCCCGCTCGACAACCCGAAAATAGACCTGTCCCGACTTGCCTGTCCTCCGACGACAATGGCAGGCAATCCTGCTGACTTGGCCAACATCCGAGAGGAAGGTCAAGATGCTGTTGGCGCAGCGCAGCAGCAGCAACGCTCCTCGAATGGTGCCCCTCCCCGAGGCACCAGGAGAGGCTTTACTGGAACAGCAGCTTTCCAATCAGCCATGGCAAGAAAGCAAGGCGAGGCTGCGCAACAGCAACCCACTGCGGTACAAAGGCATGGCCACACCCGCCGCATCAGCCTCCAGAGGGGGGCAGGCGCCAGTGCCGTCTCCGAGGCAGGCATGAACAGCTTTGATCATGAGGACGCCTTCTCTACCGATGATGGGGCAAGCATCGCCTCCTTCAATACCGACGCTGCATTTGATCCTACGAGGCGACTCCGACAAGAAGACACACAGGGAGCGCATCATGCCAACCGACAGCAGCACCATCTTCGGATTGGCAGCGAGTTTCCAGCTGCTCAAGGTGGCCGTCAACAGCAATCTGCTGGTGCCCATGGCAGGACGGTCAGCCTTGGCCAGCACCAGCTCAACATGTCGTTTGGAGCATACGTCACTCCTCAGCAGGCCGTCTTGCAACAGCAAATTGACGTGAGTGTCGCTTCCCTTCTAATCTGTGCAAACACGGTAGCTGGTTCTTACCCGAAGCTTTCCGTACAGCTGTTGCAATTGCGACAAAAGCAGCTGCAACAGCAACAACAGCAACAGCAGCAACAGATGATGCAAAATGCCGTCATGCCTCAGCCTACATTCGGCGGACGTGCAGGCAACATTCACCGCAGGGTGCAGAGCTACGCCCCGCAGGCAATGCAGGGTGCCAGTTCGTATCATATGGGTGGCATGCAAATGCCCAGCGAGCAAGGCTTCGCTCAACCTGGCGGCTTTGCGTTCAACCACCAGCCGCCTGCCAATGGTCACGGCCGCCGGCACTCGGTCAATGTTACGAATCGGCAACAACAGCAACAGCAAAACCCGCCGCAGCAAGATCAGCATCCAATCAGCTCCTCTCATCCTACAGATGAGGTGGTAAATAATCCCGCAGCAGTCGCAGGAGTTCGAGTGCAACAGCTCGGCGCTCCCTTCTCAATGGCTCCCTTTGCCCAGGCCTCCCTGCAGCTCCAGACTCTGAGCCCCGAGTATCTCATGGCTGGTGGAGGCCTGCTCAACGTCGGCACCCTCGGGGTAGCGGGCATGAACGATCTTGCTGACGGCTTCACTGGAAATTCAGGACCTCCACGTCGTGGAACCCATGGCAGGACCAACAGCACTACCATGCGCATCAATGGCGTTCCGGGACAGAACGTTGTCGACTTGGCGCAAGCTCAGGCCCAGCTCGCTTCTTTGCATCAGTCCAGAGCTCAAATCTCGGGTGCTCCCGGTGGGCACAACCGCATAACTTCCTTCGGTGGTGGGTTCGACCCTGCTCTCATTGGCCTCGGAAACAGCGGCTCGCCAGCCGGGGCTCTCCAGCGCAAAGCTTTGTTTGGCAGCTACCTACCACAGTCCAGTTTGCCTCCGCTGCTCGCCGCGGGAAAGCTTGTCGTTGGTGTCTTGCGTGTCAATAAGCGTAATCGCAGTGATGCATACGTCTCGACAGAGGTTCTGGACTCGGATATTTTCATCAGCGGCTCCAAGGATCGCAACCGTGCGCTAGAGGGAGATGTCGTGGCTGTCGAATTGCTTGATCCCAATGAAGTATGGAGCATCAAGAGGGAAAAAGAGGACAAGAAGAAGCGTAAAGAAGAGCAAGGCAATGTCACCCGACGCCCAGATACCAAGACACAAGACGACGTCGAAGTCGAGGGTGCTCAACTCAGGCTTGTGGAGGATGAAGAAGACAACGAGCAGTCGCCACCAGCGCTTGCAGGCCACGTAGTGGCCATCGTAGAGCGTGCGCCTGGGCAGCTTTTCTCGGGCATTCTTGGATTGCTCCGTCCCTCTTCGGCAGCCACAAAGGAGAAGCAACAGGCAGAGCGAGCCGCGCGCGGTCAGATCGACACTTCCTTCGCACAGCCGAGCCAAAGACCTCGCATCGTGTGGTTCCGGCCAACGGACAAGCGTGTTCCTCTGATCGCTATTCCTGCAGATCAAGCACCCGCCGACTTTTGGTCTGAAGGAGGTCAAGATGCTTACAGTTCACGGCTCTTCGTGGCATGCATCAAGAGGTGGCCCATCACTTCGCTGCATCCATTCGGTGCCCTGGTAGAGGAGGTCGGAGCCATCGGTAACGTGGAAGCGGAGACGCAGGCTCTGCTGAAGGATTCTCTAAGCACTGCAACCGAGGAATTCAGCGAGGCCGGTCTTAAGTGCCTGCCGCCTTTGCCTTGGTCCGTCCCTGCACGCGAATTTGAGACTCGGCGCGACTTTCGCGACGTTCGGGTCTTTAGCATCGACCCGCCAACTGCAAAGGACTTGGACGATGCCCTTAGCGTCAAGCAGCTGGAAGATAGTTTGATCGAGGTTGGCGTGCACATCGCAGACGTGTCGTACTGTGAGTGAAGAACTTTTAGCATGCGGCGTGCTGAAGAGGGGCTCAATCCTCTATCTTGCCTTTCTCCCACAGTCGTCAAGATTGGTAGCGCTCTAGACCGAGATGCGCGCAAGAGAGGCACTTCGGTCTACTTGGTGCAGCGAGCAGTCCCGATGCTTCCGCCCACGCTGTGTGAGGAGCTGTGCTCCCTCGTCCCCAACGTGGAGCGGCTCGCATTCTCTGCCGTGTTCAAGATGACGCAAGAAGGGCACGTTGTCGATTCCTGGTACGGCCGTACAGTCATCAAATCTTGCGCAAAGCTGGCCTATTCCGATGCGCAAGCAGTGATTGAGGGCGGCAAAATTAGCGAAGAGAAGGTGGCAAAGGACCTGGTACCTGCTGTGACCGAAGATATCAAGGTTTTGCATGGGCTTGCCGCGCAGATGCGGAAACGCCGCTTCGACCGCGGTGCTCTGCATATGGAAAATGTCAAGCTCGCATTCACCCTCGACGAGAATGGCCTGCCCTCGGACGCTTACGCATACAAGACCTACCAAGCTCACCAGCTGGTCGAGGAATTCATGCTCCTTGCGAACATGTCTGTCGGAAGTCGGATCGCCGCTGGACTTCCAGAGACAGCCTTGCTCAGACGACATGAGAAGCCCATGCTGCGTCGCCTGGATGGCTTCGTCGAGATAGCAAAGAAGCTGGGGTACGACATGGATATCACTTCGAGTGGAGCCCTTTACCGAAGCATGGAGAAAGTTAAGGAGCCAAACCATCGGCAGGCACTCGAGACGCTGGCATCCAGGGCTATGCCCCGCGCCAAGTACTTCTGCACCGGCATGGTAGACATCGCCAAATATGAGCATTACGCACTGAATGTCCCTCTGTACACCCACTTCACTTCGCCCATTCGAAGGTATGCTGATCTGATGGTGCACCGTCAACTCGAGATGGTGCTGCAGACTTCGGACAAGTTCCCTGTCGACAAGGAGTCCATGGCCAAGATAGCCCAACAGTGCAATGTGAAGCGTAACGCCGCCAAGCTTGCTCAAGAGCAAAGTCAGCACCTTTTCCTATGCCTACTTATTCACGACCTTACTATGCGCTACGGTCCTGTCGTTCGGTGAGTTCTGCAATCAAGTTTGTTTGAGTACTACTGACAAGTCTCGTCCCCCAGGAATGCGACTGTCATCGGCGTGCTCGACTCGGCCTTCGATGTATTGATTCAGGAGTTTGGAGTCGAGAAGCGAGTCCATGTTGACCAGATGCCCGTCGAGGTGAATGCGACCAGAGGTACCAGATTTACCCTTTTCCGCTTTTCTGACACGCATTTGTTTTGTTCTAGCATCATTCGCATGATGAAGCCAGCAACACCCTAACCCTTTATTGGAGAAAAGGCGTAGACGTTCTTACGTGGCTCGCAGAAAATTCAGGTGATGCTCACATGCAAAGACTGAAGGAAGTGACAATCCAACATACTATGATGGAAATGACCTCGCAGTCCCACACCGATGAAGAGGCCCTCTTTGACGATGATCATCAAACCAACCCATCTGCCGCGTACGCTGCGATGCTGAGCGGCGAAGACGCCAAGGGCAGCGAGCAAAGGATGAAGAGCTTCACAAAAGCGCCTGTGAACTTCAATAATGCCAAGACATCTTCAGACGGCCACTGTCTACAGGAGATCCAAGAGATAGACGAATTGCCTGTCATCCTCACCGCCGACTTGACCAGGAGCCCACCTGTCATCCGCGTTTGTGCTGTCAACCCCTTTGCCAACTGAAGCAGCTCAGCGCCGTCCTGCAGCAACCGTGTGCGCCGCGTCAGTTCAGTGGCCAAGCGCAGCGGAGTTACACCAGGAATGAATGAGCTGCAATGCTCGCCGAAGTGGTAACAGCAGAGCGATGACGACAAGGTCGTGAGGCTTTGTAATGATGGCGCATCTCAGTGATCCCAGGCATCCGTCACGCCTGACACGGGTGTGGCTGTAGCATAGAAACCACTTAAACCAGTCCCCCGCGCCGATCTGGAATCTAGATGCAGGGACCTGGGATGACCGATACGGCAATTCTAATATGTAACGATGTGGCACTGTGATTTGATTGTACTTAGCATCGTACGGTCACCCATAACGACAGCAAGCCTAGAAGTGGTGACCATTGTGACCTTAAGCAACCTGCTTGTGCTGCTGTAAGGCGCCTCGTGGCGTCAGCAGCACTCACCGGTTCGTCGCCAACAATGGTTCAGCGTTCGTCCTCCCGATATGGTTGGCCATGGACCGATCGAGTTCGCCCAACGCCTGCATCAGTCCCTGCGAGGCAACTCTCTGTCAAAGCCTGCTCCCGTCTGGAGCGAGGAGACAATAGGCAAGCGGCAACACTCTCGCCAAGAGCAAGGTCAAGGGCAGGCCTGTTGTCCTTCATTGGATTTGTGGTCTTCTCTGCAGCGTTGCACCTACACCTCTTCCAGTCGCAAGCATACCCAATGCCCGACAGCCACTACTACAAAGTCAAAACGATTTCCCCAGGAAGCGAATTACAACGACGAGGCCTTAGCGCAACAGATTTTGCACTTCCATGTGAACCTATACCCAGTGGCCTATCTCCATCAAGAGCATGTCACCACGTACGTGATCACTGTCAAGACACGCCTGACCTTGCCAAGTACTTGCAATTTTATTACTGTTCTGGCGAAGAGTCGAACCATCACAATGACAAGCAGCCGCATCAAGGCACCTCAACAGCTCGAAGGACAGTACTAAGAGGAGCCAAACTCCTAGCCATCCTCGCGTGGCTAGCTTTCCTGTTTAGCTGGGTCGGCATTGTCGCTAGTGACTTTTTTTGTCCGAATCTTGCGACTTTGTCCTCTCGCCTTGGCTTGAGCGAGAGCACGGCCGGAGTCACCCTTCTCAGCTTTGGCAACAGCTCGCCGGACATCTTCTCCACGTATGGCGCAATGCGAAAGGGCAGCGGCTCTCTCGCAATCGGCGAGCTCATCGGAGCAGCATCGTTCATCGTCTCAGTCGTCGCAGGCTCAGTCATGCTTGTCGCAGACTTTCAAGTCAGACCCTTTCCGTTCTGCCGAGACGTTGGGTTCTTTGCTGTCGCCCTGGCTCTCATGCTTTCGGTCTTGTTCGACGGTGTGCTCCACTTGCACGAGTGCATTATGCTCGTCAGTTTGTACGTGGCTTACTCGGCGACAATCATCATCAGCAGCTGGTGGATGGGCGATGGGCAAGGTGCCCGTGTCGCGCTGCCAGAGGATGAGGCGGCAGGATCACGAGACTTAAGAGCCAATCCAGCGGGAGTCAGGTCATACCTCGGGCCTCTCACGGTACCCGCCGCAATTGAAGCTGGCGGCATCTCCAACGAAGCTGAGGGCGTTTCCGATGAAGGTGCCCCACATGGCTTAACAGTGCATCCCCATGCCTCGCAGTCGCATCAGCGACACAATCTGCGCTCTGGGATCCTACCGCGTCACTCAATCCTCGGTGCAATCGAGTTCCGTGACGTTCTGCTGAACCTCCGGAAGGAGTCCAGCGCGGACAGGAGTGTTGAGCTCTTCCAGAGTCATGACCCGGAGATGTTTCTATCGCCGCACTATCCAAGTAGTATGCACTCCCGACATTCATTGAATTTTTCCTCAGTACGCCCCTTTCCTCGGTCCGCAAGCCCGACGACTAATCCGAAGGACACTGTGACGTCGACTGCGCAAGATAGAGGCAGCACCTCCCTTCATGGTCAAGATGACTACTTTTCCCTGGAAAGAGGCGTACAGGATCTCGAACCGGGAGTAGCCTACGATGCCTGGCGATCAGAACATAGCAGCGAAGCATCCGCCGCACAGTCCGCGACCTCGCGTCACCTGGACGATTTGCATTCTTCTCAAACTGGGACACTGCTGAACCAGCGGACTGGAAAGAGGCAAGACAGACATCCAGTGCGAGCTATCCTGCGGGCTTTGTTCCCTTCGCTGCAGAATTTCCAGGCCAAGTCATATCTTGGGATGTTCGTGAGCTTCGCCACGGCGCCGGCGATGGTCTGCCTCAATCTCACACTTCCAGTAGTGGACGATGAGCTGGAGGGCAAGATCGCGCAGCTTGAAAAAGACGGTAGCGCGCTGCAGGAAATTCACCTTCCCGGGGACGAGCGTACACTCCTGGCCCGGGAAGGGGATGAGATGGCAGACGAGCTGGCCGAGGACGCATCTGTTTTGCACAGCCGGCAAGCACAGCTGCCAGAAGAGTCGTCGGACCCGCTCGAGGCCATGATCGAGCTTTCGAAGGCAAGAAAGGTCCTCACTGTGGTGCAGTGCGCGCTTGCACCATCCTTCTGCACTTGGGCCGTCACAGACGAGGATGATAGTCGCCGCGTGCTCAAGGTGATCATCGCGGCCATTGTCGGCTGCGTTCTCGGCTGCCTTGCCGCCTTCGTCGTCTGGCAGATGAGCGGCCGAAAAGTTCACCCGCACCTTGCTGCAACGAGTGCGATCTTCAGATGCATGGTCGGCTTTGTCGTCTCCGTCATGTGGATCATGACCATCGTGGATGAAGTTGTGCTCATCCTGCAAGCCATCGGCGCCATTGCCGGCGTCAGCCATGCAAGTGAGTGTTGCTGGATACAAAGTACTCTTGCCTCAGCCGACGTACCTCTTCTTTCCTGCTTGCATAGTCCTCGGTCTTACCATCTTTGCTGCGGGCAACAGCCTTGGCGATTTTGTTGCCAACACATCACTCGCGCCCCTCCATCCCGTCATGGCCATCTCAGCCTGCTTCTCTGCTCCCATGACAGCACTCCTCCTTGCTTGTGGAGGGTCAGGTCTGGTGATCCTCTCCCAATCCGCGGACCAGAGCTACGAAATCGACCTGTCACCGACATTACTTGTCAGTGGAATCGCCTCGTTTCTGATCCTCATTTCGTTGCTGGTCGTCGTGCCCCTCAATAATTTCCACCTGACGCGCAAGATGGGAGCATGCCTCGCCACGTCGTACGTCGCCGTCATGCTCGTCAATGTGGGCGTCGAATTTTACAGGCGTCAGCCTCATGTAGCATAGACAATGTGTACCAACTGCTGAGTGGACAGAGAGGTGCAATCGGTGGGTCTCGATTACTACTCAGCAGCCCGTAGCTTAGCCTGAGCGCTGCACGGGACGGTCACTCGCACAAGCCGCATAAGCGGGTCCGTCACTTAAACGTCTCTTAATTCAAAAGCATGTGGAGAAGTTCTGAGCGCCGAGTACCAGTGACAGCAGTCCCGCATCGGCCCCTCCAGGAGCGGTGGTGCAATGGTGCGGCTTTGATTACACCGACGTGACGCACAGTCAGAATGTGAACGATACAGAGGCTCTCACGTGCTGAACGGCTCAGCGTCCACCTAGATAGTATTCGGGTGGAGCGACATGCTGAAACCCTTTTCGAATGGAAAGCAAAATTAAGCAGCAGAGCACTAGCTGAGTCCGGCCGTGAGAGCAGCGAGTCTTGGGCCAAAGCGATACGATCACTTTTGGGCGCACTGGGAGGGCCGAAGGACGATTACATGATAGGCCCTCATGAAACGGTGTGAGAACGAAAAGATACCCCCCTGTTTCGCTCGGTCACATTTACAGCTTTTGCATCGCTGCAATGTCAGAACTCTGTACCAGCTCTTCAAATTCGGCGACTCGTTCCTGGAGATCGTCAAGCGAGACCTTCTCGTCCTCGACGACGATGGTGATCTGCAGTTTGCTGACACCGTATCCGACGGCGACGAGCTTGCTGGCACCCCAGACGAGGCCATCCATTTCGATGGAGCGGACAGACTCCTCAAGCGCCTTCATGTCCGTCTCATCGTCCCATGGCTTGACTTCGAAAGTGACGACAGACTTGGCCGCTGCACGGGGACCCTTGGCGGCCTTCTTTTTCTCGTACTCGGCGACGCGCTCGGCCTTGATGCGTTCAGCCTCCTCGTCCACTTCGTCATCTGAGCCGAAAAGGTCGATGTCGTCGTCATCGTCAGCTGCGGCAGCACTGCTCTGAGCGCCGGCGTTTGCAATGTTGCTGTGTGCATTTGAAGATGAGAGAATATAGGAGTTAGATAGGGGGTGAGCATCTCCCGACGAAGAAAGGCACACTCACCTGAGAATGTTGGCAGCCTGTTTCTTGTCACCCTGCAGACTGGGGTGCTCTGCCTCCCAGGAAGCGATGTGGGTGTACCAGCGTGCTACATGAGGGTACTTGTCGGCGTTGGGGGACTTGATGACCTCGAAGACGGCAACGTCGGCCTGCGAAGGTGCGTGCCTGACGGCAAGGCAAGGGGTGTGTCATGTCAGCTTGACGGCCCATGTATGGAGGACACCACGATCGAGTGAAAGGGCCCATCTTTAGTGTCGAGCATTTCCTTCCTTCGTCCTGCCAAACCCCTCCGCCCCCTGTGGCAGAGGGTTTTCATGCAACGATAAATCAGATAGCTTGGAAAAAGGTTGGTTTCGTCAAAGCGAGAAGAGTCGCGGGGTCTTACGCCGCTGGAGCTCGGAAACACGGACCAAAGCAAAGTATTCATCATTTTGTCCCTTCATTCCTAATTTCCTTCCCATGTCCATCGGCCGGGCGAATGAGAGAGGAAGACAATGCCATGAACTTGTGCGTAGGCAAACTCACCCATCGACGTAGGATTTGTCGACAAGGTACTTGTCGAAGGCACCGAGGGTGCTGTCCTGGGTGAAGTCTGGGAGCGACATGTTGGGTAGAGCTGAGCTGTGTATGCAGAGGCCTACGTGACTATCCCGTTTGCAGTGAGCGGCGAATGCTGTGAGCCAAGGGATATACCTCAAGGTGAGGATGGGAGAAAGGTGTCGTTGAGAAGGAATGAGAAGGTGTAGCGTATGTGGGCGATGCTGCGTGGGCGGGGCGCTCACGTAAAGGTTTTTTTTTCCTCTCTCCTTCCACTTGTGATGTGGGCCGCCGCTCGAGCCACCAGAGTAGACTTCTCACGTGTCCATACTCGGAATGCGGAATGCGGAACCCGGAGTAGGACGAGGCCCCGATCAATGACGGCCATCGCGCGCTCCTCGTCGTCGTCCTAGCTTATTTACACTGGGAGTTGTCGTCGGGCGTTGTCGCAGACACATGTAGCATAGATCAACCATCAGCGTTTCACCGGCTCACCGCACCTACCTTCTCCCACCGCGCGACGGCTCAGACATGCTTGGTGTGTCAGTGGAACACAGCACGGCGTACAGCACCAGCACTAGCACAAGCAGATTACCGTACCGACTGAAAGGCGAAGCAGAGAAGCCTCCGCAACACCATGCCTCGCCAGTCTTCTGCCAACAACGCTCCCGCAGCCACCACGGCTTCCTCCTCCCACATGCAGCCCCCCACGCCAGCCGGCTACATGATACAGAAACGCCAGGCCGCTTCCTCCTCGTCGGCAGCGGCCGCGCCCTATGCACATCTGCAGCACCCTCCGCCCTCGGCACAGGATCTGACCCTCTTCACATCCCTCGCCGCCTATGCTGACGCACTCGATGCTCTGCCCCTCGACCTAACACGCAGCTTCTCCGATCTCCGAGAGCTGGATGCTGTACTAGGAGGTGAGAGCAGAGTCCACCCTTCGCGCCAAAAAATTGCCCGTGTTATGCCTGACAGGTCCATGACGCCACCCCCTTGCAGCACACATCTCTTCTCTTACCGCAAGACTCGCCTACCTCACATCCCTCATAGAAGACCCAAACATTACCCCCGGCGAGCGTCTCGTCGCACTCAAAGAAGTCGCAGAAGAGGCCAGAGCATACAAAATGGGAGGCGAAGACAAGATCCGCGTAGCAGTCAACACAGCAGAGATCGTGAGTGTGAACACAGTTTCACCGGCGTGTGCTTCTTTTCTGAAGCGTACTTGTTCCACATCCATTTCTCTTGATCAGATAGTGTCCCACACAGATTACATCGACTCGCTCCTCGACAACCTCAACTCGGTTCACTCCCTGTCGCCATACCTGGACCCAGTGGCATATCTACGCGGAAAAGGCATCATCCCAAGCACTTTGAATCCCGATGGGCTCGTCACTGCGCTCGGCGGAACTTCTAGCTACCGCGGAGGTGGCGTGGCAGGCGGTTCCGGTGCTGGCAGCATGTCCGGCTACTACAATGGAGCAGCATCAGAGTCTCTCACAGCAGTAAATAGCGGGAAGAAGAGCCGCAAGACCGCGTCTGGAGCGACTGTCGCTGGTGGTGGATCTGCAGTAGCACAGGGTGGGGCCTCGGCTAGCGACAGAAGGTCCTATCAGAGCGCCGCTACCGCTCGCGATGTCTCGCTCTCTGCGGCCGTGCCTGCGTTGAGTGCAAGCGCAGGCACATCCGTGGCGAGCAAGAAACGAAAAGCACCAGGCGGAGCTGCATCGTCTTCCTCCGCCGCTAAAACCGCTCGTGCTGATCAAGATGATGCTGTCCTGCGAACCGACAAGCGCATGGCAAAATCGAACAGCAGAACCGCCCACTCTTCTGGTGTCCGGTCAGCAGAGTACGGCGATGCGCTGGATCACCAGGACGGAGTTTCCGCTGCTGCTTCCCGCCTGTCCGGACGGGGTCGCAATGCACGCGCTTCGTCCAAACTCGACACGACCGAGGATGAGGGGGAAGGGAATGGCCATGCGATGCCTTTGGGCGGCTACGGCAACGAGGTCGCGACATTCAGTCGACGCGGGAGCCGTCCACCTGCTGCTGGCTCGTCAGGTGGCGGTGTTGGTTTGCCTGGTGCTAGTGCCTCGGATGGACTGCTCGACGGTTTACCGCGCGGCCATCGCATTTCAGCCGGAGGTCCAACCGGGCCGGACGGGCTGCTGCCTCCTGTAGGCGGTCACACCGACGGCAGTACCGTGCCGCCGCCCGGCTTTGTGCCCGAGGAACGGCGGTACTGCTACTGCAACCAGTTCAGCTTTGGCGAGATGATCGGATGCGACGACGATGATTGCGAACGGGAATGGTTTCACATCGATTGCGTCGGCTTGGAGAAGCCTCCGTCGGGAACGTGGTACTGCGAAGAGTGCTCGCAGCGGAGGGTGAGTTACAAGTTGCGCCGCGCCCAAGTCGCTGTTTCCGCACTGTTCTGACCATTTGCTTGCCATCCCTCGTTTGAAGCAACGGAAAGCCAAGAAAGGGAAGAACGGGACCGGCGGCTCGGGCCGCTCCGGGCGCAAATGACCTCATCCTTCAACGTTGTACCCCCGCATGCATTGCATCACAACTTATTCGTTTTCTTCCCATAGCCCCGCGTGTTTCATATTCCGCAGACCCGTTTTTAGAGTACTTCGGGTTGGCACTCTGATGTGAATAGACTGTTCCGCGCCTTCTGCCCTTTTCCCGATCATCCACTTCGTCCGAATGATTGAAGACACTCCGCTAGAAGAATCAGTCGCATAATGCAATTGTCAGAGGCCGCCGTGCACGAGCCGACCATCTACGAAGGACGTGCGATTGTCCTCTGCCGACTGAAGATCCAGCCTTGGATCTGTAAGGTCATTGGAAGGCAAGCGACCATGCTCCGGCCAAGCGCAGACGCGCTGGCAGTGGCCCTGGGCCAAAACAGACGTCGGGCGACGCAAGCGGTCTTGACGTCGCTGGGACTTGAACGAGCGCTATGTATGACCTGTAACCTTCGCAAAGTACCACGTCTTTTTGAGAGAAGCGACAACTGGACGCAAGTGCGAGTTAGGCGGGCCGATGTTTTCCTTTCACGGACTTCTTTGCCTGGGAACGTACGGCTCGCCTCACACTTTGCGAAAGAAAGCAACAAGTCGAAAGGCGAGGCAAGCATTGAACCAAATGCATTGCTCCAACAATTGCAAGCGCGCGGTTTGCTGCAAGACCTAACGTCTCGAGCGGTACATCAACACTTATCCTCAGCAAAGCGAACCATCTATCTCGGCGTAGATCCATCGGCATCAAGTTTGCACGTCGGCAATTTGTTGCCTCTGCTGGCCCTCGTTCATTTTACTCTCGCTGGGCATTCTGCTTTGCTGCTGGTGAGCTATGTTGAGATACGGTCGACACATTGGTGAAAGTACAATTGCTTACGTCGATGACCTTTGTTTCCTGATCATGGTGTCATGCCGCCAGGTCGGCGGCGCCACCGGTTCGATTGGCGACCCATCTGGACGGTCGAAAGAGCGCAATGCGCTTGATCCCGAGACGTTGAACGATAATATCAAGAGCATAGAAACTCAAGTCAACAATATTCTTCACAATGTTCAAGGCTATCTCGAGCGCAGAAGAGTCTCGTATTCCAGAGACACGAAGCCAACAACGTTGGAGAGAGCGTCCGAAACAATTAGCACTGGCGGAGACACGGCTATTGAGCTTGGCCCAAGTAGTGTTGCATCTGCTGATATGCCATCTGCGCGCCTTCGAATAGAAGTGATCAATAATGCTGAATGGTACCAAGGCGTAGGGGTCTTGCGATTCTTGACCGACGTGGGCCGCTACGCAAGGATGTCCGATATGCTGGCTCGTGAGAGCGTTGCTTCGCGGCTTGGCGCACGGAACAGCTCCGACGACCAAAGTAGCGAGCCCATCGGAATGAGCTTCACAGAATTCTCATACCAGCTTCTGCAAGCGTACGACTTCAGCGTGCTTCATGATGGACCATATCAATGCACTCTTCAGCTCGGCGGCTCGGATCAGCTAGGTAACATCATGGCAGGTGTCCAGCTCATCCTACGTAAACACAATTCGACTCAGCCTTCTCGCAGCGAGCAAAAGGATGATATTCTTCCTGCATATGGAATTACGGTACCCCTGCTGACAACTTCCAACGGAGCCAAATTTGGCAAGTCGGCCGGCAATGCCATCTGGCTCGATCCAAAGCTACTCTCTGACTACGACCTTTATCAGTACTTCTGGCGTTCTACTGACGCAGATGTGCACAAGTTCCTCAATGCTTTGACCCTTCTGCCGCTCGAGGAAGTAGAACGAATCATGCAACGCCATCGCCAAGATCCAAGCAAGCGCATTGCTCAGGAAGCACTTGCTTTGGAGATTCTCGAACTCGTGAGAGGCCCAAAAGCAGTGCAGCGGGCTCGTGATGCGCAAAAAGTTCTCTTTGGCTCGGGTCTCGAATCTTTGAAAGTGCAGGATATCAAAGCCGCCTTCGACAATGACCCTAAAATGGTCCGCCTGACGCGAGAGGCATTCGAAGGGGTTGATATTCTCGCGATATGCGTCACGGCACAGGCAACAAAGTCGAGAGGTCAGTTGGACATACTCCTTGCTGTAAGACCTAAGACTGAATTGTGCCTCCCAACTCCCATATGCTGCAGGCGAAGCGCGACGGCTCGTCCACAATGGAGGAGTATACCTGAATAATGTGGCGGTCAAGGATACCGCATTCAAGTTGTCGCAGGACTCACTCCTGAAGGGCGTCTTTTGCGTGCTTCGCATCGGTAAGTCGGATCATCGTATTTTAGTCGTAGAATGAGAACGCATAGCACGTGCTTTCAGTTTGAATGTGCATTGTTCTTTTGGGTGCTACTTGCAAGGTACGCTGGATGATTGATGAGAATGAGTTTGTGAATTGAGTGATGCTATTTTTGCTTTAACGATGCTGGAGATAACGGAGCTGATAGAGTAATCCCCTCGTGGCCACGGCCATCATTGCGAACGATATCGACGTAGCCTTTCTGAGCTGCCAGAGTGGCATATTCCCAGAAGCCGCTCACATTATGGGCTTGGTACCATGCTCCCGTCGAACCCGATGCTCCTCTCTGCAGCGGGAAACGCTTGGGCACTTCGCCGGATAAGCGGCTACGCGAAACCACCACTGCGCCTTCCTTTTCATAAATTTGGGCCAACGTGCCGGCCAGTGGCCAGAATCGAACATCATCTTCTGACGACACCTGAGCACTCCACAAGACCTTTACTTGTGCCTCGAAAGTGGGGTCCTCGCTCCGCGCGGAGCTCGAGTGGCTCGAAGTGTCGCAATTGTGACCGTTGAAACGGTTACCTGTTTGTTCACTGATGGCGACATTTTTGTCCTCGTTGGACTTGTGCTCGAAGGATCTGTCACTCTGCTTAGATGCCGCAGAAAAACAGCTATGCAGGCGTATGTGCTTGGTGCTTGCACTGAAGCCAGGTTGTATTTCAATCACTTTTGCGTCTTCTGCGCGCTTGAGGAAGGCGTTAAACTCGTCCACCTTCTTGATGTCCTTTTGCCCGAGCCTGTAAAGCAGCTTGTGCAAAAAAGCATCCACGCTGTAGAAGCGACCTTCTTCACGCTGGTCGAGCAGCGCGATGACGAGAAGCGTGAACTCCTCCGGGAACGTGTGTCCATTGTATATATTCTGACCCTTGGCTTTGGGGTCGTACGATGCGGTGCGAATGTTCCGATACTTCTTTGCGGTGCCATCTGGTGCCGGCAAAGACGGGTTGTTCGCTGCAGATTGCTTGCTTGACTTAGCAGCCGCGGCTGCGTTCGGCTTCAGAGCATTATCGTTGCGGCCCACTGTAGTGTCGACGATGCGCGCTGCGCTCGCAGTGACTTGAGACGTGTAAAGCTCAGAATACCTCGGGTGAATTTGGACGGTGGATGCTGTCAAGCCGGTGTCCGGCTCGCGCAATCGGGCAACACCCGTTTGCTCGGCCAACGCAATGTACTCTTCCCAATTAGAGACACCGGCTTGACGGTACACGTCAGCAATTCCTTGGCGTTCCATAATCATGAGCTGCGTCGCTATTTCTGTGGCAAGCGGCTTGGACGTCCCAGACGTCTTGATGGACCGATGTACTTCGATGAGGGGGAAAAAGACCTCGATTGGCCGATCCCCTTTTGGAAGCTTGATGGTTGCTGCGTCCAGTTTCGAAGCAGATGAAATGGAGCGAGCTCGGGCTGCGCCGTTAGCATCATTTGTGGGTTTGCCAGGGTCCGAGCCGGTATGCGTAATTGTTGATGACGTCAGAGACGGCAAGCCTCCTGGCAATTGCATTTGTTGTTGCGGATGATGCTGCTGCGGAAGGGGCTTGCTTGTGTCAACCTTCGATACTGTGGATGGGGTGGGGGTTGGCTTTGGCTCGGCAAGAGCGGTAAGTGCTATCCATTCGCTGCCTGGGAATCCATCTGAGCCAAGCACCACGAGCCCGTTTGCCTACCGATGGGAAAGACGGTATCGTCAGCCTGGTGGCCTAGACGCCGAAAGCTTGGAGGGAGAACTCACCTCTGCAACTGCTGCATATTCTGCCCACCTTGTTGCACCAGCCCGTTCGTACACTTTCGGATAGCTGGTGACCAAGCGAACCGCAGTGGCGGAGCGCAGCGGCTTCTTGTTCCCTTCTTTCGCATAGAAGTGAAGTACTTCTATCAGGGGTGTGAACACCTCGTCGATCTGTTGTTGCGAGTTGTCCTCTTCTCGAACCAAATCGTTATGCTTCGAAGGTGGTGACTTGTTGATTACAGATATGTTTGAAGTCACAAATGAGCCTAATGTCGAACTTGGCAGCGGAGGGGTAGTTTTCGGCCGGGAGGAAGATGGAACGATACTGGAGACTGCATTTGTTTGCGACGCATCAGGAGCATTGCTGGGGGGGTCTGATGCTGGCGCCTTGACTGTGGAATCTTTGGCTGTGGTGTAAGAGCGACCTGATGCATCTGTGGGTACTTTGAGTACGTCTTGACGCCAGCGAAGTACCTTGTTCGCACTAGCTTGCAGGATCGGAGTGGCACCGACAGGGGGAACGATCAGTACGACCTCGTAGCCCCTATTGCGGAGCGTCCCTAGCGAGTATGCAAAGTCGCGGTCCCCAGAGACGAGAAAGATGCGAGCTGGAGGCAGGACATCGAGTGCAAACGTGAGCATATCGGCAGCCAGCATGAAGTCGCTTGCATTCTTCCTGCCACTTTTGGGGGTATCGATGAGCGACACCCCGGATCCCTGCAGTTCGCTTCGAAGTTGTACGACGCTAGCGTTGGGCGTAAATTCGGCGGTGGACAGCTCCAAATATGCTTTGAATGAGACGATTGTACCACCACGAGACTGGCCCCCAGCTTCGTCTTCAATGACAGTTTCTTGGACCGCCTTTCGGATGGCTTGCGCGACTTCTCGCCCTGTGAATCCTGATGGTGGCGAGCAATTCTAGCGATGGAAAGGCATTCGAAGTTAGAGAGAATGCCACATATTCAAGATGGCACGAACTACCCACATCGACATCCCAGAAAATTGAGCAGACCATTTGTTTGTTCTCTTGCTTCCCGCCGCCAGACTTCCTGCCATTCTGTCTCCGCTGTACGGATTTTTCAACTCCAGAGGAATTTGACTTTGATGTTGAAGGAGAGGAAGAAATCGAGCCTAAATTGCCAGTCGAATACAGGAGTGTGCCGACCGCGAGAGTGCCTACACCAGCCGCGAGCGCATACTTGGCTGCAGGCAGCGAAAGGACGCTATGTAGGAAGCCTCCGCCACCGCTGCTACCGGCGCCAGCAGTTCCTGTCATCTTTGCCAACATGAGAAAGGCGATCGCCGTTGCTGTCCTCTACACCCCTGGCTTTGGCCTCGCGTTGGCCTGTGAAGTAGCGGTATGGCTGTCTGAGAGAAGGGTATCGCCGTCAAAACGCCGCTGCTGACGACAACCTCATTATCGTCGGTGTCTTCATCATCCATATCCTTATTTCGGCCGAGAACGCGTTCCGCCAAAATTTCAACTTGTCGACAAGCCCTTGATCCACTCCATCGTCTTTTCCTACTTCCTTTGGAGCGTCCATGGGTAGGGCTTTGTACATCGCAAGAACAAGAGCTTGGCGCAGTGAAGCAGATACGCTGGTGGCAAGGATGACGAAGAGGAAGCAGGTCAAGAAGTTCGCCGCCGTGAAGCGGATGATCAATCCCAAGGATCCAAGACTGTGAGTAGCTAAGGAGCCACGGGGATGAGTCGTTAGCTCGGTACGATCGTTGGTGACTTTGCGAGCTACCATTGTGCGGATTGATGAAGAGGTCTGAGCGGGAGCGCTTCCGTGATAATCCTTTTCGACAAATCCTGGGGCTAATGTTGCTTGCGCTTTGCTTATCGATGTGCAGACAAAAGACAGCACAGGATGCAAAGAAGGCAGCGTTAAAGGGCAAAGATGGCGTTGGCAGTAGCGGTGGCGGCGGCGGCAAGCAGCAGCCCATACGACATCTCCCAGCGCAGGCATCATCACTCTTTTTTGCGCATAACACAGCCCTAGGACCTCCGTATCGAGTCATCGTAGATACCAACTTCATCAACTTTAGCCTGCAAAACAAGATTGAGCTCGTGCAAGGCATGATGGACTGTCTCTACGCCGAGAGTGAGTTGCTTATGCAAGTATCCTGCGCCAACCCCAAGACTCCTGACAATCTTCTTTCTCGCATAGGTATTCCGTGCATCACTAGCTGCGTCCTGGCCGAACTGGAAAAGCTCGGGCCCAAGTACCGCGTCGCTCTGCGCGTCGCGCGAGACCCGCGCTTCGAGCGGCTGCCCTGCTCGCATAAAGGCACCTACGCGGATGACTGCATAATCCAGCGCATCGAAACGCACAAGTGCTACATTGTTGCCACGTGCGATCGCGAGCTCAGGAGGAGAGTGCGAAAAGTTCCGGTGAGTCTGCGCGTACGTGTACGTTAGTCATTGCAGAGAGTGTTGGGCTTACCCCCCTCCATTTCTTCTTCTCTCTTAGGGCATTCCTCTCATGTACATTCAGCAGAGGCAATACAGGATCGAGCGCCTGCCTGACCAGGGCATGCCCTCGTAGGGATTCGCCCTCCGTCGCCAGATCTTCAAGTTCACATCTTGTCCGCATTGCATCAGCAGCCTCAGCATCCCACTTGTAGTCTACTTTCGAACAAGCATCTTCAGCGTTTCGCGTATGGGAAAGTACACACAACACAGTGGATTTTTAATCAGAGATATGCTCTCTCTCTTCCATTGCAGAGTCCTCGGAACTCGAGGACAGAATGACGCAAAGGACGAATACATGCCACGACGAGGACGGCGACGAACCATCGTCTTGTGCCTGTGTGGCGCAATGCTCGACCTATGAACGTGCTACGATCTCGCACGACGCTCCTTACATTACCGCTGCACGCCTCGGAAACCCGCCAGCATGCTCTGCGCCGCTTCCTGCATCGACACATTCCGCGCGACGGCAATGGCGCCGGTGATGCGGAGCAGCAGCTCGGCTTTCGCGTGGCGCGCGCCCCCAGTGGTCCAGTCTGCGCTCAGGCGTTGTGCAGTGGATGTAGGGGAGAGGTAAGGCGCAGTTGTAGGATCACATGGAAAGGGTCCGCGTCTTCGTCGTAGTCGAGGTCGTCGCCGTCGTCCTTTGTGATGTTAGTTGCGTCGCGCATCCGCAAGGCCATGTAAGACAGATCCCATAACACTACGGTGAAAACTTAAAGCATACGACGAGCGCCTGTATGCTGCTGGTCTTGCTGCTGCTGCTGCTGCCACGGCGGCGGCGGCGTAGTGATCCGACGCGAGCCGACTCGAATCTTCATCTTCCGAGTAAACTCGACGCGGGAAGGCGTAAAGACCGTCCCGCAGCAACTGAGATGGGAATGCACGGCGAATGGTATCGCGCAGTCTCTACAGCGGGTCACTGTAAACTGGAAAGCATCAGCGGCAAATCTTACGTTCCAAAGTAGATGAAGACATCGGTTAGGCAACAGCGGGAAGTGTTGCTCTTGCGGTTGGCACAGTTGTGGCTGCCATTGCCCTTGCCGTTGCCGTTACTGACCAATACTGCTGGTGATGGCACTTGTGCTTGTGCTAGTGCTAGTGCAGGTGCTGATGCGGATGCTAGTGTTAGCGTCACCGGCAGAAGCACCGGTGCTGTTGCTGGCGTGCGTGACAGTTCCCCGCTGCTGCGGCATGATTCCCGCTGAGAGCCTAGCTTTGGAGGTGATAGTGGAAGACGCCTTGCGAGTGAGGGTAGATTGGGAGGCCATGATTCTTCTCTTCCGGCGACTCGTATCCGCCGGCGATTACAGAGCGCTACCGCTGCGAAAGTCTGTGTGATCTCAAGGTGGCTGTGATGAATTGGCAGCGTCCTGCGATGTTTCGGCTGATGTATACTGGGAAGGTGAGGCTGGAGCTGCGGAGAGGTTTCCCGTCGGATCGATCGGGACAGGCTGTTCTCATACCCGGCAGTCATTACTGCCCTCGCTAGGGTGACTCATGGCGTCGGCTGTTCTGAAAGAGCCTTGGTGCATCTGCTGCTGCTTTTCGTCTTGTTGTGGTTGCTGCTGTTGCTGCGGCTGGGCGTGCCGTTCTCCTGGTGCTCATGCTAGGCCTATGCTTGTACTGTTGGTGCGACTGGTGCTGATGCTCCATGGAAGCGCATCCATCCTCCTTTTCCTCCGCCGTCTTCGACTTGCTGCTGCGCCTTATCCACGCTTGAGTTTGCCCCCGTTGTAGCGGCTGCATTACCCTGATCGCTAACCGTGTATGATCCGCTCCTGGGATGGCCTGACCAGCTCTGGAAGAACTTGTGCCGCTCCAGACGTTCCCAGTCCTATTCCCCCTGCTCGTTTCTACTGGTCGGCCGCGAGCTTCCCTCATTCGTACTCGCTGGAATCTGAGGATTGCATGCACCGTGCTCGCGTCCGATAGAACGAGATGCTGCAGTTGCGTTGAAAGGGGGAGGAGACGGTGGACGGTGCGATGGTTGATAAGGGGAGGGGTTGGCTACGCTCGAAGCGCGAAGTTTGCGGGAATAAGAGCAACAACGGAGGCGCATTGGGTTGGAGGTTCCAGTGCGAGGTCAACCGAACCGTCAGCCATTAATTAATTCACGGTATCGGGTACGCTGATTGAAGGATCGAACCCAGATGAAGCTAAGCTTGAGCTCTAACGTTTGATCCCAACGGAGCTCCGAGCTCTGCTTGTGGTCACCCTTTCATTGCTGCTGACCAATACTTTGAGCCTCGTGAGTGAAGCTCGGCGCTCAGGGCTTCGTTGGAAGTGGAGCTCGCTGGGCGCCAACTTCGATGGCGACGGGACGGGACGGGACAAGCCTCTGGGATCTTTGCAAATACACTGACTCGTCTTCCAGCGTCTCATGAATTGCCCCTGCACCGCCTGTAGCTTGCGTGTTTATAGGACACGTGGTTATCATCACTTGATACATAGGCTCAGCAGGCGGAGGAGATCTGTCGTTGCCGCTTCAAAAGCAACTTGGGGATCCTCTTCTTCGGGGACCCCCTGTAGAGCGACATGTTAGCCTGTAATGAATCTGGAGCGAGAGCGAGCCGCAAGTAGTTGTCATCGGTCGAAAGAAAAGGGGAAAGGAATCACATCTCCTGGGCGGACTCAGGAAGAATGGGCTAGAAGATGAACAAGCAAGCTTGACGGTAATGCGGCTGAGAAAGCAAATGCGTCATACATATCTTCTCAAGCCTAAACCCTTTTCGCAGCTCTCGAAGAGCAGCCAGCCTGCAGCCGGATGGGGTAGGGTGGGGTAGATGCTGCGGTTTAGTCATCAAGGAGAAAAAAACCAGCTCGCTCTGACCACAGTGTGCGCATGTGAACCGGCAGTGGCTGTCGACCAGCGCGAGATCATTTGCCAACCCCAATTACACGAAGGTGCATGGAGGCTGCAATCTCTCTGATAACTGTGCAATCCCCTGGGGGAGGGAGAATAACGCTAGAGGCGAGAACCCTGCCACGGAGTTCCTCTGGCGATGTCTGAGCGTGGTTTGGGTGTGGAAGAGCAAGTCTATGCTCGCCCACATGGACAGACACAGTGGTAGAGACGTGATGACCCAAGCTAGAGATGCACGTGAGCAGACTGGCACAGAGCCCAACAGACGCCGGTCCCAGTGCAGGTTCTTTAGAAGTGAACCTCATTGCCTGACATGTGTTCCAGCCTCATCTCCTTCGTAACTACCATTCAGGTCCGTCACTGTGCTCATACCCCCACGTGACGCAGTTCCAGGAATACGCACCACTAGACTGCACACTGCTGTGTGGCTCTCACGGGCTGTGACTGCGTGCTGATACTGTCCGTCTCCATCCTTTCTCATCACAAATCGCGTGCCCTTTTCGAGTACTGCAGACTCTCCTTATCTCGTTGTGTCGAGGGTTTGGGCCTGCAGGACCCTGTAGGGTTATTGAAATCTGGTCTCTTCATTTTCAGGCTCTGGAAGAAACACGCTAGACAGATTCCCGTATGGAGGAGACCGCGGTGGACATGATGGGTGTTGTTGCTGCCTGTTGAGCTACTGGAGGATAGGTTTGAAATGTTGCGATTGTCGAAAGCATAAGGTGCTTTTGATAGGCGTTTGGAATTGTGCATTATTAAAAAACCCCATGATCATTTGGTAGGGTTGGGCTTGGGTTACCATTTTGAAAGAATTTGCACCGAATGAAGCCATCTGCTCCTGACGTCATGCGGCATGTCTGCCTCAAAATCTCCACTAGCCTCTCATCTCATCCTGTGCATCCCTGTCCACATATCGACAGCTTCAAGATACAAGTTTCAAGCAAAAGAGTATCCGCTGTGAGTCTCGCACTTGACAGATTGTGAGGCTAGCCGAATTGGAAGAAGTATTTCGAACGCACGATACGTCTTTTCTCGGTTGTCATTTCAAAAAAGCTGCAGCCTTGCCGGCCCATTCCAACCGAACCAAACTCGCAACAGTCACTGTGACCATTTACCTCGCAACGATCCAATCGGTCCTTCCGACGTTCTCCACCCCGGCCTTCTCACTCGCGTCAGGGGTTAGAGCGCTGGCTCCCATTTCTTCCGCTGTCGGCGCGGCAAACGGCATGAAGGTGCATTTGGAGAAGGGGGGCGCCGACACTTGTCGCATTCGTGCGCCACTGCGTATGTCCTTTCGCAGAGAAGGTGGTTAAGATGCCGGATGAAATCACGCAGAAGCACTCGCAACTCAAAGTCGTCATCGTACAGCACATCGCAGAGAAAGAGACGCAAGAGTGGTTCGCGCGGACCGGGTAGGTTTTATCGGTCGCGTTCGTATTCGGAAGCGCCTGCATAGGCTGACTCGGAACCCTTCGACACTGCCATCAGCGGTCCACAAACATTTTCAACCGGCACATCGTCCTACATCTTCATCTCCGACCCTACCTTCGCGCTCTATAGTCAGCAGGGCATTGGTCACATCGGTTGGGGCGGCATAGTAAACTCGCGCGTCGTGCCTTCGCTGAAGCAGCTCAAGGGGCAGGAGAACATCGACTTCAGGCTGACGGGCAAAAGGGATTCTGCCAATGGCAGACCTTCGGAAGGTTCGCAGTCGATCGCGAGGGCATCGTACGTTGGATACAGGTGGCCAAGGACAGTGCGGATATGTGCGAGTTCTACGACGCTATCAGGACAGCCCTTTGAGCCGTGTCTAGTCGAAAGGGATAGTCGTTTGCTTATCTTTAAGGCACGCGTATATGGATGGTTATCATTGATATTCCCCCAATTTTAGATGCGCACATGCGCTTCTGACTATTTCCATATTGTAGGGATCATGGTGCAAGCCGCTCGACGGTCCATTGGTCCTCATCGGCAGCTTTGTCCATATTTGCGCGGGTGTATCTGTGAGAGAGCAAGCGAGAGAGAGAGAGAGAGCGTAAACTAACCCCATCCCCTCATCTCATGCGACTGACGCCTGCGACACTGACCTAAACCGATCATGCAGTCTGTTGTTCCGGCCACACCAGAATTCTACTTCATCGGGAATGATTCGGTAACCGCCCCAGTAGTGAGGCACCTCGATCTTTGCATCCGGTGCGTTGACTTCTTCCCCGTTCAGCCCCGCTGCACCAGGAACGCTGCATTTTTGCTCCTCTTCCCGGACCAGCGCTTCGAGCTGCTCCCTGTCTTTGATCACTCGGCTCTGCGGACTGGCGCGCGCCCCGATGCGGCTGCCAATCGGCCTCGAATGAAAATAAGCCTGGCTTTCCGCCTTGGTGACGCGCTCGGCCTTGCCGCAGATGCGCACGCTGCGGTGCAGCGCGCGCCAGTAGAATGTGGCGCTGATCCACGGGTTGCGTGCCAGTTCCTCGCCTTTGCGCGAGGTGTAGTTCGAGTAAAAGACGAAGCCGGAAGGGTCGACGCCCTTGAGCAGGACGACGCGCGCCGAGGGACGCGGCGCCGCATTCGTCTCTGCCCCGCGCCAGGACGAGTGCGCCGATGCGAAGTCGGACGATGACGATGGAGGAAGGCTGACTGTACAGATCGTCATGGCTTCCGGCTCTTGAACATCGGTGCGGTCGAGCGCTTCCTTAAACCACTTGTTGAATTGGGCGATCGGCGAAGGCAAGAGTGACGAGGTATCGATGCCGTCCGAATGATACTGATTGTGCGTGGCGATCTGCGTTACGGATGGTGCGCCAGCATCGGAGCGGGTGGAGTACTGCGCCATCTTGCAGACGGAAAGCAGGGCGCAGAAGGGCGCCTGCGGTCGTGCCTGTCGCCTATCTCGGGCCCCTACCGCGCTTGCGTGCCGGTAGCTTGGCAATCGCTTGAGCGGCGTGCGAGCCGTGCGGAAAGCTTGCGAGGCAGCGGAGCAAGGCACACTGGCCAACCTTGGCTGGCGGAGAGGGGCGCTGGCGTGTAGCGTGAGCGAGGCGGACCAGGCGGCCATATACGATATTTATCCGCGAGGGTAGGGCGGGGGCAACCGTGGCCTCCTTCGACTCCAGTGCGGGGCACAATGACCAATGCCTCTCAGAGCTGTCTGCTGCGCCGCCTTTGCTTCCATCTGAACGAGGTCTCCATTCCCGAGTGGCTGACTCTCCGTGACAGCCACACTAATCCATACGCAATAGTATCCAATCGCAATCCCAATGCTTACTGCTGGGTGTACGTAAACGCAGTAGGAAAAGCAACTCGCGGTTGTGATTCCGCGCCACGGTAGTGAACACCTATATTTTCTCTACGAAGAGAGCGCGTCGAGTCGAATCCATTGCGTATGATCATCGACTGAATTGGCAAAAGAGAATCATAGTCTCACCGCCATCGACAACAGCGATCATCGAGCGCATGTCCCCAGAGCCGCCTTCTATCGCAGCCCAAGCGACGCCCTGCAGCGCATCTCACACCATGACGCCCGGCCCTGGTGCCGAAGGTCACAATGCCGCCTACAAGTCGGCTGGGTTCCGCAGCAGCCTCGCAGCCCAGATCATGTCAGGCAACTTTAAGGCAGATGTCGTGTCCGCTGGCGGTAATCGGATGGCGAGGTCGATGGCCGCAGGCTCCACGAAAAACGCGAATGGCGACGCGTCTTCGTCGCTAGGCTCGGATGAGGCGCGAAACGCAACGCTGGCTCACATGATCAACGGTGGGTCTTCCAACATGATGGGCGGTTCGCGATCGCACGATCGAGACGAGGACGGCGAACACAGTGACGTTATTGCGCCGTCTTCTCGACCGACTAAACGCGCAAGACGAGCAGATGAAGAAAAGGAGGTCCTACTACAGTCGAATGAAGTGCCTCAACTCAGGCTAGATCTAGACCGCTACAAATATGCCCCAGGCAATCGTGGCCCAGCAAGTGGCCCCTCCAGCACAGGGCCATCTGCAAGGCGATCGCGCAAGACATCCAATTTCAACTCGGACGACGACTCCATGTCCGAGGGCGATGCACCCGCGAACGGAGGCGGCGCACCGGGACGAAAGCGTCGCTTCAGGCTCGGGAACAGCGCCCCTTCAATACGTGCAATGGCTTCCAGCGACGACTCGCAGTCACGACCCCGACCACAGCCGCCGTCCAAGTCGCCGGCACCTCAAGCGCAGAAAGCCACCAAAGCGCAGCGCCTCAATACACTCTATCCGGGATTTACGTTGCCCTTTGTCACCTCCCTTCTTGCATCTCACTCCGAGTCCGTAACGAAGACGATGGACGCGCTCAACGAGCTGGTGCAAGCTAGTCCACTGCCAGCAATCGATACGCTGTCCGCAGACCACCAAAAGCTCCTCATGAAGTACATGAGCATCTTCCCTGAAATCAAGAGCGATGGCGTGCAGAGGGCGCTTGAAAATTTCGATTGGGATGAGGAAAGAGTGGGAGAGCACCTGGATATGATGTGTCAGATCCGGACAATGGGTACATACGCGCCACGAGTCAAGGTGCAACCCAAGCCGCTGAACAGCATAGAAGAAGGCTCGAATGGTACGACAAAGCTCGAGTCACCGAGTCACCCACTCTCGTCAATCGAGTCGAGCTCGCGGTCGCTTGTGCTATCGAGCTCGCAGCAAGGCGCTTATGGCGCAAGCAGTACAGGAGCACGGTCTCCAGCGCCTGCGGTGGCTCGAGCGTCATTAAAGGAGGAACGCTCGCCTGCACCCGTTTTCAATCTCAACGGCGCTACTCAGGGCAAGCCTCAGGGGAGCACAGATGCGGATGTCATCGTCATCGAATCTTCTCCGCCCCAGCAACAGCAGAAAAGCCGACGGCCCGTTGAGGACGACGAAACAGACCTAAGCGACGCGGCCTCGGAAGCTGCATCGCAAGATCGCGAGGACATGCAGGCCGCAGCTGCGCTCAAGTGGTTCAACACGTCCGACATGCCCGCGTTGATGGACACGATCAACTGCTCTGAGGCGCAGGCCAAGATGTTGATTATCATGCGCCCTTTTGCAAGTGTCGACGACGTAAACGAGCGCCTAGGTGACAAGAAGGTGAAGGGCGTCACGCCAAAGCTGTTCAATAACTGCGTGGAGCTCATGGCAGGGTACAGCGAGGTGGATGAGGTGCTGGAGCGCTGCGAGCGGATCGGGAAGAAGCTTATGAGCGAGATGAGCGCCTGGAACCTCGATGGCGCGCACACGGCCGGCAGCACGCGAGAGAACACGCCTTCGTCAGACGCTGGTGATGGAGATGCCGCGACAGCCGCGGGCTCAGGTGCGACCAGCGGCCCTTCGACAAAGGGCCAAGGCCTCCGCGTTGTGGCCCTCACTAGGGAGACAGCGCGTGCGGCAGGCTACCTCGAGCGGCAGCCAGAGAACATGGCGACGAGCTTCGAGCTGAAAGACTACCAGCTGGTTGGAGTCAATTGGCTCACAATGCTCTTCAGCAACAAGCTCTCCGCCATCCTCGCCGACGAGATGGGCCTCGGCAAGACAGTTCAAGTCATTGCCTTCCTCGCCAATTTGAAGCTCCGCGACGTCCCTGGGCCGCACCTGATTGTCGTGCCGAGCTCGGTGCTGGAGAACTGGAAGCGCGAGTTCAAGGCATTCGCCCCATGCGTCCGGCTCTTCTCATACTGGGGCTCGATGAAGGAGCGCGAGGCGCTGCGGTATGACTACGAGGACCAGGTACAGGACGAGGGCGTGGACGTCGTCCTCACCACGTACGACATGGCGGCTGGGGGCGGCTCCTCCGGTTATCTCGACGCTAAGTTTTTCAAGAAGAGAGGCTTCAATGTGGGTATCAAACTTGTGCGCGAGCCAGCACGGCGACGCGGAGATTGCTCACTCTTTCTGGCGTTGCGTACAGGCCTGCGTATTTGACGAGGGTCACTTGCTCAAGAACCGCAAGTCAGAGCGTTACCAGAAGCTAATGAAGATTCCGGCGAAATGGCGCCTGCTTCTCACCGGCACTCCTCTGCAGAACAATCTCGGCGAACTTGTTTCACTGCTCAATTTCATCATGCCAAGCTACTTCCGAGATGCGGACGAGGCATTAAAGGCTATCTTCAAGGTCAGTCTTCGCCTGTCGCTCCCCGTACTGCTTGATGGGCGATGCTGAATGCGTGCATCTCTTCCCTCCTGCCGGATACGGCCTTATTTGACGCAGATCAAACCAGGCCAGTCACACAAGAATATGCTGTCTCAGCAGCGCGTCATACGTGCCAAGAAGATGATGCAGCCATTCGTCCTACGGCGCAAGAAGGACAAGGTCCTGCGCGACTTGTCCAACAAGCACGAGATTGTAGAGTGGTGCGACATGACGCCTGACCAGGAGAGGGTGTACAAGCAGGTGTGGGCGAGCACCAAGGCTGCCGTCCAGGAGGGGGAAGAGCAGAATGCCAGCAAGGCCAAATCCAAGACGGGCAGGACACTCAGCAAGAAGCCGGCGTCTAGCAACGTGCTGATGGATCTGCGAAAGGCCGCGAACCACCCTCTGCTTTTCCGGAATATCTATGACGAGAAGAAAATAGAGAGATTGGCCAAAGATTACGTCAAAGAGCCAGATCATGCTGATGAGAACCTCGAGCATGTCAAGGAGGACTTTGCCATCAATTCGGATGCGCAGCTTTCCATGGTCGCTAATTCATACCCTGTAAGTTTCTTTCCGTGGAAAGGCGGCGAATCAACCTTTTTTGATGCGCTCGGTTCATTGTCTTTGCAGTTCACGCGGAAACACGTATTACCGGACGAAGCCTGGCTGAATGCAGGCAAGATTCAGGCGCTCCAACGTCTTATCCCCAAGATCAAAGAGCGTGGTGATCGATTGCTCATATTTTCACAATTCACCACGGTGCTTGATATTTTGACAATCGCACTGGACGTGATGAAGGTCTCCTGGGTTGGATTCACCGGCCAAACTCGCGTAGAGGATCGACAGATCCTCGTCGATCAATTCAGCAACGATCCGAGCATTACTTGCTTCCTGCTCTCGACCAAAGCAGGCGGCTTGGGCATCAATCTTACAGCGGCGAATTGGGTTGTGCTGTTCGACCAGGACTTCAACCCGCAGAACGACAAGCAAGCCATGGATCGGTGTTACCGTATGGGTCAGAAGAAGGACGTCACTGTCGTCAGGTTGATCTCGCGTGGCACAATCGACCAGAGCATCTGGGAGCTCGGCACCCGCAAGTTGGAGCTCGCGAATCGCGTCTCGGACGACACGGCTGGAGGCGAGCAGCGAGGAAAAGCAGCAGGCTCAGCTGGCGCAGGCGACGACGACCGCGACAGCGCGGCGGAGGACTGGGAGGAAGAAGCGGATGATATGGTGCAGCAGCAGATTACGCATTCGCTCATGGCTGAGCTCCGAGACAAGGATGCCAAGAAAGAGCTGGAGCAGCTACAAGGAGCTTCAGAAGCCAAGAAGATTGCTACATAGAGGAGCCTTCGAAGTTGGAGAACCGTTCACCGCCTCGATCCTGACAGCAAGGTCTGCCGCAGGTAGATCATGGTTTAGAAATACAGTGCATGCTGCTCAGCTTCTCCAGTGTGGATAAATACAGGTACAATGATATGCTGCGCCGTGGTGCCGCGCGGCATCTGCGGCGTCGTTCACTTTTGAATCTCGTGGTCGGCAAGGAGCTGTTGAGACGTAAGAAGGGAAGGCCACGTGTTAGCAACGCAGACCCTCATTGCCATATAGAGGCTTGAGCAAGACAGTGTGTAATTAAAGAACGATATCGATCGGAAGGATTTGAAAGCTTACCATATTCGGTATCCCATTCTTTATCCGGAAGAGGTGGTCGCAATTTGGACATCGCATTTCGCCTTCCATGACGTGGATCTTGAACAGAGCAAATGGGTATTTTCAGCCTCGTCCTGAAGTGATGCAAGTACATGCGAACGAGTGATTCGGGGCGCTTACCTCTAGCAGCACATGATGCAGCGCCTTGAGTATGCCTTCGTCCAGCATGGGATCGTCGAAATCAGGCTGCTGATCTGGTAAAGATGTGTCTCCGAGCTGATGACCAATGTCGTCAGTACCGGTCCGCGCGCGCGCCACGCACCTGCCTGACATGATGCGATCGATTCTCACCTCTCTCGAAGCGCTGACGAGTGCATTCCACTCGATCTTGGGAACAAATCCGCGAATAAAGTCCTCATTCCAGTCCGCCTCGATCAACTCCAGCGAGACATTGCTGAATTTAAGCGGAAAATTGTTGGACGTGGTGATGCACGTCTTCGCATTGCACGCCAACAGGTTGTGCGTTAGAAGACGCATTTCGAGTTTACGCTAGGTGCACTTTGGTGCCGATGCTGCTGCTACGAATGCTTGACTTTTGCGGCCTTGCTAGACAGACGTTCATGTACGTCAGGCGGGGTCCGCTGAAGATGCACGGTAGTCGAAGAAAGATGCGGATCCGAAAAGTTCGCGAGCTGCGATGGAGAGAGCCAGAGATGGGAGGGTTGCATAAGGTGGAGAGTTTTGTTTAAAAAAAGGACAAACAAGCCCAGGCAAGTCACGTGACAACAACACTTCAGTTGTTGGTTCACGCCGGCGGTAAGTCCAACTCACCAAGCCGCACTTCCAAATCCAACCTAGCTTCGATGGAGGGGACGTGCAGAAACGCACACATAAGGCAGCCCCGAAGACACAGCACTCACGAGCAAGTCTTCGGTCCACAGGGCTCAATGTCCCCATGGTTCGAGACTTCGCTCGTTGCTTGAAGACCCGCAACGAGCATTCATCGATTGATCAATGGCCATGCATTGGTAGAAGCACGGGTACACCGCGCTCAATTCACATACTCCAAGATGGCGCCAGCCCCGACACGCTCTAAGAAAGGACGCGCTGGGCCCTTGGGGTCTGCCACTGCAACACCGTCCGCCTCGCCAGTGAAGCCGACCGCACCTCCCCGGTTGTTCTATCCAGCAGGAGCAGACAGGCCAGAGGATCTGACAACTTCCCAACAGGAGCTCAAGGTCGCAAGGCACTCGCTCTGTCTTGCAGGTCAGGACGATGACGTTGACTCGGCCGATGTTACGCCCGCTGCTACTTGCAGTTGCACAGGTTTTAGGCCACCGAAAGGCAAAGGGGTCCATGCGTTTCCAGTCAAGAAAAAGAAGCGAAAGAAGGTCAGCAAAGCCCTTGACGAAGATGCAGAGGATGACGAGGGGACTGAGGACGAGAGATCTCCTGCTGGAACACCAGCTGACAGCGACGATGAGAACAGCACCTCTGCGCAGATAGATGGGATGCCGTGGTCCACGTGTGCTTGCGGACATGACATATCAGAACATGGCAGGCTTTCGGAAGAGGGTAACGAAGAGCGAAGAAGGAGGATCAAGGTGGCCGTTCGAATAGACGAGCTGCTCGAAGATGAGGACAAGCTACTTGATTTCGAATATACCAACGAGGACATCATATCCCTCAAGAGGTAGGTCTGTGGGTTCATCTTGTCGACTGCCTATTGTCCCTGAGCACTTCTCATGGCTTCACGCTTCTCGTTGCAGACAAATGCTCCCGCCTGGATCAGACACATCCCTTTTGCGCGCGGCAATCGAGAGTCATGTGAATGGTTCATCTGCAGTGAACAGCAGGAAGCGGAAGTCGCGGTCCAACTCGCCCGCTACTTCATCAGCACTGACATCTCCGACACAGTCGATGACGTCGCTGGCAAGCCCGGATGCCAAGCGAAGAAGGCTCGAATCAGCACAAGAAGCTGTTGACCCATCTTTAGTCAAAGGGCAATCAAAGGGCGGACCATCCACCGGCCTAGGAATCGCGGTCAATGATGAGAATAGTGATCAAGGTGCAGGCAAATGGAAACATCCTACGCAGAGAACACGTGAGTTTGCGGATCAGAGGGCCACAGAACCGCCAGAAGGAGCTGCTGACGTGTCAGAAGGGGAATATAGATGGGGCAGAAGCTGTCCCAGCGAATGAAGCGTCAGCAGTGGATCTTGTGACAAAGGGCATATCCATCGACGCTGTCGTTGAGGAGGGCAACGAAAAGGAGGCTGCCGTCTCCACCCTAGCTCCAAAGACATCTGCGGCGGGAACTGTGGATCCGGGAGCAGCGCCAAAGCGTGAGCGACCGGCCGTCATCGAAGAGCGTGCCGGCCTGATCCAATTTCGCGTTGTGCGCAATGATGACAAGCCAGAAAGCATGATCCTGCTCACTGGGCTCAAGAACATCTTTCAGCGGCAGCTGCCAAAGATGCCTCGCGAATACATCACGCGACTGGTCCTTGATCGCAATCATATGAGCATGGCCATCGTGAAACGTGGGCTCCACGTTGTTGGTGGCATCACCTACCGGCCTTTCAACCATCGGTGTTTCGCAGAAATAGTCTTTTGTGCCATCACCAGCACGGAGCAGGTCAAAGGATACGGGTCTCATCTGATGAACCATCTCAAAGACCACGTGCGCGCCACGTCGCCTGTGATGCATTTTCTGACGTACGCCGACAATTACGCGATCGGATACTTCAAAAAGCAAGGCTTCACGAAGGACATTACCCTCGATCGCTCCACATGGGTTGGCTACATCAAGGACTACGAGGGAGGCACACTGATGCAGTGCACGATGGTACCACGCGTTAAGTACCTCAAGGTGGAGGACATGCTTGCAGCGCAGAAGGAAGCCGTGCTCACCAAAATTCGTGAGGTTTCTCGCAGCCACATCGTCCATCCTGGCTTGGAAATCTTCAAGAGGAGGAAAGAAGGCGAAACGATCGAGCTGGATGCCAGTCAGGTGCCAGGATTGAAGGAAAGCGGATGGACACCGGCTATGGATGAGCTGTCGCGCAGGCCGAAGAGAGGGCCGCATCACAGTGTCATGCGGCAGATCCTCGTTGAGCTCGGGAACCACGCGAGCTCCTGGCCTTTCCAGAATCCGGTCAATGGCGACGAGGTAACAGACTACTACGATGTCATAAAGGAACCGATGGGTGGGTTTGAACACAATTAATACCCGAATCTTGATACGCTAGTACTGATGATGATGTCGTCTGACTGATTTCAAAGATCTTTCGACGATGGAAACAAAGCTTGAGAACAACAAGTATGACACACTTGATGATTTCCTAAAGGATGCTCAACTTAGTGAGCCCAGCTGATGGGAAGCCTCAGGGGCAGCTTCGAAAATCTACTGATCGAAGCATCTTGTCATATTTGCAGTCTTCGACAATTGTCGCATCTACAACCCTCCCTCGTCGCCTTACGCTAAGTCGGCCACAAAGCTCGAGAAATTTCTCAAGGACAATCTGCAAGCATGGAGACAAGCAGGAGGTTTGTAAAAGGATGCACGCCGCGCAATGTAAAGTACAACAATCATCAACAGCAGCACATGTACATTTGTATCTGCAGTTGTAGTCACGTTTTCTGCTTCTTGTTGTGCTTGCCTGACGCGCTCCGCTCGCCCTTGCGCTTGGGCTGAGCTGCCTTTTTATCATCCTCCGCCAGGATATCCCTAGCGGGGCCTTTGACGCTCATTGTCGTGTTCAAGCCAGGAGCGGATCCGCCCGCAGTAAGAGCTTGAACCTGTTTCTCTGCGGCGCTCCAGTCACGCTCTTGATTGTTGTTGATGCGATACTTGGCGAGGTCGACCGAAGAGAGCAGCTCCTGCTGAAGCTGCTTGCGCTCCCGCTCGGCCTCAGTCTCCACCATGTCTGCTGCGTCCTTAAGCTCCTCGTGAAGATCCTTTGCAAGCGGCTGCCAGCCATCGCCCGACTTGTTGGCTCCGTTGGCGAGGAAACCCTTGCGTGTCGGAGCACCGGCAGATGCGCTCGGCATGTCTTGCTCGATTTCTTTACGCTGCACGCTGCGCAGACTCTTGACGATCCGTCGCACCGCTTTGTTGAATAGCGCAAGCAATTGGGAAGATGGCAAATTCAGCTCCGCCTCGGCGTCGTTGATGTCTTTACGCTGTAGGCCAACAGCGAGCAGAATCGCGGCTTGCACAGTCGACAACTTGAGAGGTGCCTTTTCGCTTCCGTCGTTTGCTGATCCTGACGCGTTTTCATCGGCGGATAGTAGACGCCTTTGGAAATAAAGTGTAGCCAGAATGGGGAAAAGATCGTGCACGATGTGTACGTCGATCATGTTATTGCCGTATGCTTCCAAACGCTTCATGTCGAAAGGGGAGAGAAGCATATCCACTTCTTGCAACGACAGCACATTGCTGTGGGTGTTGCCACCAAGATCGGCTTCGGCGCCATTGGAAGCTTCCTCGAGCATGCTGAGCGCAAGCACAACGGAGAATTCGCGGAAGCGGTAGCCCAAAAGCGAGATGAAGCGCTTGCGGAAATCGGCAGCGAAAGCTGCGAGCCACGACGGTGCTCCCTCGGCTGTGTCCATCTCGTCCTCATTGAGCGCTTTCAATTGGATGCAAGTGTACTCGCCTGTCGTGTCGTTGGGCGACTGGCGCACGTACAGCGGCGTGTATCCAAGCTTGGACCAGAACTTGAAGAGCACTTGGGTCAGGCCATAGCTGACGCCCAGCCAGTCGACCTGTTCGGGTCGCTGTTCTGGCAAGCGCTGAAGCAGCGCCGGCATGCGCCTCGCATCGCGCAGTGCGATTCTGTCTTCTTGCAAGCCCTTCTTGCTCTCCTTCTGGCTCTGTTTAGCCAAGCTGATGAAAGTGTCTAGCTCACCTTCCCCAGTCAGCTGTCGCTCACGGTCATCCTTTGCGGCCACCGCGTCGGCATCCATGAGCTTCTCCTCGTAGAACAGCCTCAGCAGCTCGACCGCACGCGTGCCGTAGCCCATACGCGCATAGTCTGGATGCACCGCAACGCGAACAATGCGTGCACCGCTGAGCTCACTCGCAAAATCGGTGTCTTGGAAGTAGTTCGAGAGCAGCCAAGGGATCAGGTCACCCGCCTCGCGCACACCACGCGAAAGCGAATTGAGGACGGTCTGACGTGAAATGTTGCCCTCCAGCGAGACTTGCAGCACGGCGAGTGGCTCGGGTATGGCGTCTGCCGATGAGGCAGATGGAGGTTTGAGAAGGACAAAGAGACGCTGACCGGGGGCGTCTGACATGAGCTGCAAGTCGTTCGGGCTGTTCTTGTAGTGGCTCGCCACGTAGAGGGCCATCATTTTCTGCAGGAAAGCCTCACTTGCTGGGTGATAGCTGAACAATGCATCGCGATTAACCAGGTAAAGGTCACACTGCGATGGGTGCGGCGCTGAGTTAATGGCCTTTGCTTTGCCTTTGCTTCCGAGAGGAGCGATCGTCGCGTCGAGGCACAGGAGCTCGTGCAGCCATCTCTCAACGTGATCGCCGGTAGTGTATCGAATTGGCTCCTGCAACTGTATTTCCTTGAGGGACCGGTTGTGTAGGGTCACATTTGTGGAACCCGGCGCTGCAGCTGATGCAGCTTTGCTAGCAACCGAAGGCGCATTCTTTTTCTTAACCACTGTCCCACTCTCCTGATCCAAGCCAAGCCCCGCAATGCCGCCTTCCACACCTGCGGCAGGTATTGTTGCTGCATACCCACTCCCTGCCGCGCCAGCACCTGCTCCTGCGCTTCTGAGCTGCTGCAGTAGCTTGAGACTGAGACTGCGGCCAGTCCCTTCGTAACCATTGATCGTGCTGCTGAGAAAGACGAGGTATTGCCCCTGGCCCATCAGCTCCCTGACAGTCGGCAAGGGAATGGCGGCAGCTTCGTCGATCACGACGAGCTCTGCATTGCTGCCCAGAATGTGCGAGTCCTCAGGTGAGATGTACTGCACCATCTGCCTTCCTTGGCCGACTCCGCCAGAGCCACTACCACTAGTGTTTCGGAAAATGTTAACACGCAAAATGGTATTTTGCAAATCGGTACCTGGAGCGCCTCGCACCAGATCCCAATCCTGCACCTCTTGGTAGCTCAGGGCGTCGAGACCTTTCAGCAAAAATTGGAAGAGTGTCTTGAGGTTCTCCGGACTTGGTGATGTGACGAAGATGTTGCTGTACCCATACGCGATGGCTGCAGCGATCGCTAGACCTAGCGCTGCGGATTTACCGCGTCCTCGGCCTGCCGTGAGTGCCACCGTCGTGCTGAGCTCAGATGAAGTGGAAGAGGCGGAGAGGACGTCAAGGATGGAGAGCACGGCAAGCGCTTGGTCCCGGGTCTTGGCTTCTCGAATCAGCTGGGAGACTACCTTCGTGTTCTTCACTTCTTCTCTCAAGACTTGCAGCTCCTCTTCTGCGGATGTTCGCGATTTGCCCTTGCCCTTTCTGTTTTCCTCGATTGGAGTGATGTCTTTGCCTTTCGAGAGGGGCAGGACATTGAGCTCGTCATCGAGCAATAGGCATGTGGGTGAGGAGCCGAGAGAAAGCAGAAACCGTTCATTGAAACGTGCTACTGGGTCGTCATCCGTTGTCGACGAGCGATATTTTGAATGTGCGTCCTGAATGTCCCCAAAGTTTTGTCAGCCGCCTGCATGGGCAGCGCCCGGGAGAAGCTACTCACCATCCCTACGCTGTATAGCTGCTGTAGGCTGGTCATGGTCTTGAGCAGGAGTACTACAATCCCTCCTCCTTCTACCGTCTCGATCGTCCGAGCGAGGAGATTCGGGGTGATGGCTTCGAAGTCTTGCAAAACGAGCATACCAAAGGTTTGACCAAGGATCTTGTTGGTCTCCTTGTAGTAGCAGTATCGGATGTCGGTAACACCAATAAAGAGGTCGAAAGGGTCATTGGCAATGCTCTCCTTGTTCTTGACACCCTTCTTGAGATCACTTTTGAGCTTGGCCTCCCTCTTCTTTCGATGGGTCGTGAAGCCGAGGTCCTTCTTGTAGCACCATAATACATTAGGGCGAGACGAGACACGAGACTGGGAGAGAAGGAAGTGAAGATTCACGATTTGGTCTCGCGAGTGGTCACCGACAAGGACAAAGAAAGAGCGGTGATTGGTGATAACATTGTTGCGAATCAGCGTTGGGATCCGTGAGTCAAGTTGCTTGCGCATGGTGGCTGGGAGCCCGGAGCCGGGCGGTTACGATGCAGCTGAGCGATGCGGCCGAGGAGAAGCGAGCGGAAGACTCTGCGTCAGAAATGATCGGACCGAGCACGCTCTTTCCAATTCGTCGACGTGGTATCAAGAAGCCTACAACGTACAGCTATACTTCCGAAGATGTGTGCGAGATGCTCTCTCCCTCTGGAAACCGGTTGTCAAAATTTTGTACTCATCGGCGACTTTCCAAAATTAAAAATGCCGAGATGATGCGGATCGACTCTTCATTTCGTTGTCTCCCATGGAGTTTGGAGAGAGGTCAGGATCGAGAGGACAACAAAAAACAAAATCAATTTGTTGCTTGCTGCGAAATCCGCTTGATGATCTCGATATCACTTGCGGACGTTGGGAACATGTTGATGTGCAGACATGAACCGGAGATCGACTCGACCTGCCGATGTCTCATGGCCCCTGCATTCTTCAGGACGATTGAGCTTCAGCTTCCGTGCTTCCACTCACAGGGTTCAGTACTGTCAGAGCAAGGTCTCGACCACGCGTGACAACCCACGCGCAATGCCGCTACCAAGCACGAGCGCAACACGGAATGACTAATTCGATGCATGCGAAATGAGCTTAGGCTGCTCGAGACCCGATCCATCAACACAAGAGCTGGTCTCCGTCTTACCAAAAGTGGCAAAGCTTTAACTTCTTTTCAAGCTGATCACGACAACACTTGCATTAGGTTCTGTGTCTCTACTGATACCACCTTCAATCGCCACACGCTTCGTGGAACTTGAACAAAATGTCCTTCAACTTCCGTTGGCCAGAATTCTCGGAGGGATTCCATAACGATGCGAAAACGATGCTCGATAGTGCGCTCAACAAAGGTGCGAAGCCCAAGGTCATCGCTGATGACATCAAGGTTGAGGAGTTAGGTATGGGCACGATAGTGAGTCTACCTCCTATCAAGCGCCTTGATGCCCAGCAGATCTAACTTCTCATGCATGTCTTTCCTTCGTCGTACTACAGGCGCCGGAACTTGACATCCTCGAAATAGGCGACCTCTCGATGGACCGATTTCGGGGCATCTTTCGCCTCACGTATGCAGGCGACGCGCACTTGGTGTTATCGACGAAAGTACAGGCCAACCCACTCAGCGCAGCGCGTGGCTCACCAGCAAGCACCCCTGCCGGTGATGAGAGTGTAGATAAAGCAGGGTCGATGGGGGGCGACTCTGCAGCGGCTGCCACGCCCGACCTCGAAGAGACGCCTTCGTCTCCATTTGGCTACGGCCGCCAAGACGACTCGATCTGGTTCGGCGCTGCGTCTCCCTCTTCGAATCCCTTAACCGCATCTCTCTTCCCCGCCGCTGCCAATCGCCGTGGAGGCATACTGTTCGCAGCTACACCGCTCATCGTGCCGATGAAGCTGCGTCTCTCCCACCTGCGCCTTCGCGCCATTATCGTCCTGATCGTCAGCAAGGCCAAGGGCATCACACTTGTCTTCAAGAATGACCCACTGGAAAGTGTCAATGTGTCTTCGACATTCGATTCGGTCGGCGTCATCGCCAAGTACCTTCAACAAGAGATCGAAGGCCAGCTAAGGGAGATGTTCAGGGAGGATCTGCCGAGCATTATTCATCGGCTCAGTCAGAAATGGCTGCTTGCTGGCTCCATGACATCTGCTGCTGCTGGTGATGCCGGAGGCGGGCTATCCCCTGCTGCCAAGGCGGATGGGGCTTCGCAAAAGGAAAAGGAACAGCCGCCAGCACGTTCTGCTTCCGATACTGCTCTCAAGCTTCAGGAGCCGCTGCGAAAGCCTCTGTCGCGTGCTCAGTCCGCATCGGCATCTGCGCATCCAAAGGGTGGGAAGGCAGCTTCAAATGCAGGACCATCGCAGTGTAGGGGGCCGACAGGTAGCATGGGAAGAGCACAGACGGCGGCTTCGACATCAGGGATAGAGAAAGGGCACAGAGGCAAGGCTGCTTCTGTCTCTGGAACATCCGTGCTCAGCCAAGCACGTAAGCGCGATATGGGTGGCAAGTCTTCCTCTCAAGCCTCCATGAGCTCAATTCTGGGCTCAAGCTCGACGCTTGGAGGCTTGTCCTCTTCATCCAGCACAGCGCGCACGACCCCATCGCCTGGCCCAGCTCCAGGATCCCAGGCAGTTGGAAAGTCGCCTTCGTCCCCCTTCACTTCATCTTACCTTGCTTCAATGCTGGGCGACTACGACGGCAGCGAGCAGGACTTGTACGATCCCACCTACGGCTTCAAAGCGGATGATCCACTCACTCCTGCACCAGGTGCTGGGGGTGGCCCACCAGGGTTCAGCGGGCTTGGGAGTCTAGTGAAATCCAAAAAGCCAGGTATGGGATTGAAAGAGCTTGTTCCGCTGTCTCCGCCATCTTCACAGACTGCGACCCTGACCGAAGGCCATGCGCACTGCGAAGCTATGGGCGTCATGGATGGCGATGCTGAAAGCGTCGATCCGATCGAAAGTGACTTTGAAGGCGCGGAAGAGGACGCGCTCAATTTCTACTTTCCTAGTGTCGATCGTGACAATAGCGAGCAAGACGATGAAATTGATCATCTCGACAGGCTTAGGGAGGGCCGCGACGAAGAGGAAGAGGATGAAAGTAGCGATGATGATAACGAAGAAGAGACAGATGACAGCGAGGCAGCGGATGAAAGCCAGCGCAATGCAAGGGCTGACTATGGGGATGATGTTGAAGACGACCCAAACCCCGGCGACTTTTCGCGCTTTGGCTATCCACCGCCTACGGCTGCGTATTCTGAAACAGGCGTAGGTGATGACGGTCTTGCAGCTGCATTTGGCAGCAACTCCCCTCGGCAAGACAGCGCGCATCGTCACCACAAGAGGACGAGCAGTAAAGGTGCTCGCTCCACTTCTTCGCGTGGACCATCGCGGTCACTCGCGGCTGCTGACGGGCGCAGCAACCGGTCAACCCCACTGCAGTCACCGGAAGTTGAGTACGAGACGGTCCCTGCGGTCGGCGGCGGTGTAATCACGCGCCCACGAACGTTTCACTTCGTCAGCTATGCACAGGCGCCGGAGCTCTCGCCTGATGAGATGGATGGCAGCTTTTGCGCCGACTCTTTGAACCGAATGGGTGACGATACTGTTCGCGGCCTCGGCAGTGGCCGTGCATCATCAACACATGCCGCAAGCAGCACATTTGGAGGAAAGAGCAGTAGAACAGCTACCATAATGGGCCTAGACTCTCCAAGGCAAGGGTATGGGAGGCGCAGGGCTCCAACGGAATGTGCTTCCTCGCCTAAGCGAGACCGGTGGACCAATTGGGTCAAGGAGGAAAGTGATGATGAAGAGGATCAAGGTTCTCAGATCGAAGGGCATACTCTCCGTGATTCGCGTCGCTGCGCTTCGCATGCGAGCGAGCTAAGCGCCGACGAGAAGCGCTCACTGGACTCTCTCCCACCCGAGCCGGTCGATACCTCGTCGTATGAGTTCAGAACAAGAGAGTACCGACAACGATATGGCGTCGCAGTGGAACCACACTGGCAGCGCAGCAAAGCAGCAAGCCGGCCAGAGCTTACGCAACGCCATTCGAACACAAAGCCGACTCCATCTGGGCTGTTGCAGCCACTGCCTCTGCGCGACACGAACTCTGTACTGCCCTCTACGTCCATGACGCTCGATGCCTCGGCTCATTTCACAGACCTTGTGTATTCACATCAGACGCTGAGCCCTTTCACCCGGCCGGTAGAGCATTGCACTGTTCGCTCTGCGCCTCTGACGCCTGGCTTCGAGCCGACTATGTCAGGGCACGCTTCGTCACGCACTATCGCAGCGGCCGCTGGACTCCTGACACCTACCGGCGCAGCCGATGCTCTCACGGGGGCTCATTACGCAGTCGCTCCATCGCAGCTTCACTCGCGCTTGCGCGCGGCCATGGCTGATTCATCGACACCACCGCCCGGTGCTGCTGGCCTGAAGCACTTGAGCGCCCTACCCAAGGCTTATGGTGAGCGATGGTCGGCTCACAGCCAGGCCGTCCCAATCGAAGCGAAGCAGGAGCAGCAGCCTAAGGGGCGCAGACGACGAACATTCAAATTGGGAAGGGGGAGCGGAGACACCACGCACCAAAACAATGGGGACGATGAAAGGGCAGCCGCCTCGACATCCTCTCGACTGACGAAACGGGCAGACTCGTTGCCAGTCTCGGCTCCCGCTTCTCATACCAACTCGTCTCGCTCGAGCAGCCAGAGCCCGAAAGAATCGCTTCTCGGCTCTGCTCGGTATCGACGTGGTACCACTGTCGGCTACAGCACGCACGGGCATGCTTCTTCCCACCATCACCATTTCGCCAGCAACGCCACGACCAGAGTCAGCGCGGGGCGCTGGGATGCGATTCGAGAATAAGAGAGAAAATACCCCATTTGGTTCGAAACAATTGCATTTTGCATTGATTGAAGGACCACATGCTACGACTATTTTGTTGTATTGCTAAAACAGAAAGGCAAAAGCGCCCACTGTAGCGAGCAGCGGTCGCCGACAGACCCTACGCAAATTCATCACGAGTTTTGTTCCTTGCCTGTACCTCTACAGAGGGGTGGTGGCGATAGCCTTCGCTCTCTTAAGCCTCCGTCTTTGTCTCCGCCTTGGTCGGGTAAGTAGCTGTTGCAGGGCTCTCGTCGCTCTTCTGCTCTGCCGTGACCCCCACAGAGCTACCAGCTTTCTCTTCGGCGCTGACTTTAGCCTTTGCGAGCATCTTTTCGACACGCTCGATATTCTCGCGTGTCTGGCGCTGCTGGTTGCTCAGGAAGTACTCGCGCTTGAGCTTAAGGTTGTCAACCACGCGCGGCACGTCCGCGGTGTTCGCTGGCGGGGGGATGGACAGGGAGAGCAGTGCAGTTAGGTGGCCGAGCGGGATGTTGAGCGCTGTTGCTGAGGCGGATGATGAGGGTGCTGTTACTGCTGATTGTGGCAAGTTCGGGTCAATCCCTGCTGCTGCCACCGCTGATGATGATGACGATGCATCGTCTTCGGCGAGAGAAATCGGCGTTGTGCCGCGCTTGTTGCCCTTCTTCTTGCCGGCCTTGGATGCAGGGATGAAGAAGCCATCCTGGTCATCTTCCTTTCCTTTCTTGCGCGCGACACGAGCACCGTGCGGTGGCGTGATGTCGCCGGTGACGCTCCTGAGCTCCAGCTTTTTCCCTAGGGTGGTAGCAGTAGAAGTGCTGCCGTTTGCGTACAGAGAAGTTGACCCTGCCTTGCTGGCACTGCTGCCGCTGCTAATACTGCTGCCTCCGCTAAAGTAGTTAATGAGGACGTTGCACTCCTCGATCTCCTGCACAAAGGCGGGCAGCGCGGCGTCCTCCCTGAGCTGCGCCTCGTGCGCCTTGCGCTTCTGCTCCTCGATGGCTCTGCGCTCCTGTCTGTACTTTTCGTCGCGCTTGGCACGCTCCTCAGCGACCTTCTTGTCGTACTTCTCGCGCTCCTCCTTGAAAGCCATGTACCAGGCCTGCTTCTCGGCGAAAAGCGCATTGATCTGCGCGTTGGCCGCGGTCTGCTGGTCTAGCAGCTTAGCGCGCGAGCCAGCCTGCTGGGAGAACTCTTGCTGGATCGTGTCGAGCTCGGCCTTGATGTCATCGTAGCGCTTGGCGAGCTCCCGCGACTGCGGGCTGTCGAGCGTCTTGCGCAACTCGTCGATGCGTGTGCGGTCCGCGTCAATCAGCTTCTGCTGTGCATCGGTCGCTTCGACGGCCTTGCGCGTCTTTCGCAGTGTCGAGATCTCCGCGAGAGCTTTGCGCTCCTCGACGATCTTCATGCTACCCGATTCTACCTGCTTCTCGAGGCTCTGAATCTGCGCGTCGACCTCGACACTGGACGAGAAGCGCAGCTTGGCCTTGTTCGCCTTGAGCTCAGCGGTCTTCTTCGAGACGCTCTCCTGCAGCGTCTTGATCTCGTCGAGCACCTTAATGCGGTTGCCTTTGCTGCCGGCCTGGTCACCGCGCAGCTCCTCCAGCTGCGCACGCAGCTCAGCACGCCGCTTACCGGCAGGCGTGTTAGCCGCTGGACCTGAACCAGAGAGGAGAGCGCGAACATTGTTCTAGCAAGAGGAAATGATAAGCATCGCAGAGTGTGAAGGGAAAGAAGAGGGTGGGCATGGGTTGCCTCTTCCCAAGCGCATCGCCATGCGCCGCACTCACCAGCTCAGCCTGTGCCTTGGTGATATCCGACTGGATCTGGTCCATCTTGGCCTTGTACGCATCTCCGTCTGGCCGGCCGCCAGGAGCCTTGGGAATCTCGATGGCCGCGGTGTCCGCAGCCGTCACAGCGGGTGCTGCGTCGGTGCCATTGGCGGCGGCCTGCTTGCTGGTGGGCTTTTCGGCTGTCATGGTGTCGAGGCAAAGTTCAAGTAGACCTTGCAATGCACTTCGCAAGGTATGCTGCTGCTGGCGGGAGACACAGGGCTTTGGCTTGTATGCACACCTTGTGTCTCTGTCGAGAGCGCCTGGGATGGGCTTGTGGTGGGGAGGGTTGGAAGAAAAGGATGCGTGGGTCGGTTGTGGTCGCTAGTGTTGGTTGATGGAAGAAACGACGAGCCGCCCTCTGGCAAAAGCACACTGTTCCAGTGCCTACCTGTCATTCCCCATCCCTCCCAGTGGGGAAGCCCACCACCGCATACTTGGGACCAATCCTCTGCGTCTGATTCATATATGCACCAGCAACAGCTGCTTTAGATGAGCTCCAACCGAGCGACGCCGACGCTAGAGGGGGGGTTTTGGACACACGGGGGAATGACTCGGCGCGAATGAGGGGGAAAGCGGGCCGCCGCCAGCAGCAGCAGAAGCAACATGGTGATGGCAAGGCCACGTCCAGCGGCAAGAATGGCGAGCATGTGCAGCCGGTCCTCCGATCTTCGGCCGACGCCGTGACGCCCCGCATCTTGATCCTGCGCTTCGATAAGGCAGCACAGCAGCACACTGCGCTCGCACGTATCGAGGCATTTTACGAAGCGCAAGCGCAGGTGCACCGGCACCTGCACGATACTAGTGGCACCGGCGACGCGCGACGGTACCTCACGCTCAAGCAGGCCGCCGATGCCAAGGTGTGCAAGAATTACGATGGGTTCAACTTCCCCGTGGCGGCCGTGACTCAGTGGTTAGAAGCCATGCGCGAGGCAACGACTGGTACTGCATCAAACGACGAGGGCGAACAGGACAAGGACAGGTTGTATGAAGACGGGTCGAACAGTCGCTTCTGGGAGGTGGAGTGCAATGCGTGGGAGATCGCCCTGCTGCACCATCTTGCATCCAAAGGTGTCCGCGTACCAGGAATTCCAGAAACTAGTTGCAACCAGCAAGATGATGTTCCCTGCCCTAGCACAGTAGAGGTAGCAGTAGCAGCAGCCATTTCAGTCGACGGCCCGGCCACGGACCCAAGTACAGAGAGTAGCAGCCGCTGCACGAGAGACAGTCTTGGTGAAGGCACCGGCGCGAAGTCGATGCTAGGGATCATTGCACGACTGAAGCATCTCGATCTGGCACCGGACCAACCCTCGGTCGATGTGGAAACTGAATCAAGGGAGAGTCTTCCAGCCCCGACGTACATCATCTCGACGCTTGCCTCGCCCATTGGTCTGTCGACGGTGCTCGCGCACGAGCGGCAGCACGCACTGTTTTACCTGCATGCGCGTTACGCGGCTGCTTGCCGTGACTACTTCCCCGCCGCTGAGAGCAAGGTCCGCACAGCGGAAGCGGCGCGCAAGCCGCTGCACACGGCTGCGATCCAGCGAGCGATCGAGTACGAGCTGGCGCTGCGGCGCTACCCGCGTGTCGTGTGGGTCGACGAGTGGCAAGCCTACCTCTCTGTCCCGCTGCGGCACCTGGACGTGAAAGAGTTCGGCAACAAGTGCGCCGGGGAAGTGCAGGATGTCGCTGGCTTCATGCGCGGGGAGAGCGAGCGCGCTTGGGCGGAGCTTGCGGCCGAAGAGGATGGAGTGCTGCCAAGGAGCCGGTGATGAAGTGTGTGCGTTGGGACTATCTTTCTAGAGGCAATTGATGTGCACCGCGCAAAAGCAACATCATTTTGTTCAAGTCATTCTTTTCCTCTTAAAAGTACAAAAGTCTCTGTTGGGCGTTGCTGTTTATTCGGCTTTTGCTCACTTGCGCTGGCCATACGCCTTGGTGGCGTACTGGCCATTCTCGACGATGACGTTGGCGGGTGTCTGCGGCTTGCCGTGGAAGAAGTTGTCGAGGATCTCCTTCGTGCCGGCGGCGTAGCGTGCCTGGGCATCGAGCGACGTGCCGGACATGTGCGGTGTCATGTTGTTCCCGCGGCCGCGGGGCCCCTGCATATCGCGCCACGGATGGTCCTTGGGCGCCGGCTGGACGTTCCAGACGTCGCCGCCATACCCGCTTATCTGGCCGCTTTGGACGGCCGCGGCGATGTCCTCGGCGTTGCAGATGGCGCCACGCGCCGTGTTGACGATCCATGCACCTTTCTTGACGTGCTTCAGCGTGTCCTTGTTGATCAGGTTACGCGTGCCCTCGTGCAGGGGCGCGTTGACTGTGATGACATCGCACTGCGACAGGAACTCGTTCAGGTCCTCCACGCGCCGCGCGCCGACCGCCTTGTTCGCCTCCGCGGGGAGCTCGGCATAGTCGTAGTATAACAGCTCCTTGCAGTCGAACGGCTTCAAGCGCTGCAGCACGCGGTAGCCGATGCGGCCCGCGCCGATTGTGCCGACGACCTTGCCCTCGAGGTCGAAGCAGTCGCGCGCGACGTTCGACACTTGCCAGTTACCACTCGTGATCATCTCGTGTGAGGGTTGGTAGTTGCGAACGAGCGTAAGGATTGTCATGACCTACCAGATGGAGTTGGTAGAAAAGTTCAAGAGGTCTTTCTGCAAATGACAGCATCACAATGTCAAAACTTACGACGTGCTCAGCGACCGAGACAACGTTCGACCCGGTAACTTCGGCTACGGTGATTTTGCGCTCGTTCGCAGCATTGAGATCGACGTGGTCCGAGCCAACACCGGCAGTGACTGCGATCTTGAGGTTCTTAGCCGTGTCCATGATCTCCTTGGTCAAGTAAGCTGCAAAGGTAAAGGGAGCACATGATTTCGGTCTTTAGTCGTACATGTCCCTGTTTTCGCCGGCCCGCAACACCAACACACACTTGGGTGGAAGGGCGTGCTGATGAGGACATCTGCATCCTTGATGTGTTTCTGAAATTCCGAGCTGGGGCCCTCCTTGTCATCGGTGACCTGTACAGGACAAAGAAGGTATGGAGAACTGAATTTCAGACAAGCCGGCGGTGGGCACGTGGAATGCCGGTTGCATAAAGGCATATACCAACAATGTACTCATGACCAAGGCTTTTGAGCCAATCACGCATGCCGAGGGCGTTCTCGACAGTGCCGAGCAGGCGAGGCTCCTCCTCTGCATCCTTTCCACCCTTGTAAAGAACGGCGAGGACCTGGGATGGGAGAACGTGAAAGAGGTCAGAGATGCATACAAGCAATGGCCAGCGCGTTTCTCGAGCCGCGCAGTTTGGCTGTGCAGCGCGGGAGAGTAGGAGGGTGCAAGAGTGGAGTGGAAGGCACCTTCATCTTGTTGGAGCGAGGAGAGCTAAAAGTGGGAGCTGTGCGAATGGATCCTGTCGAGATAGATGGAGTAAACGTGTTTTTGTGATATGTGGTAGCGCGGTGCGGAGGAGATGCTTGCGAATACGGTTTGCGTGTGGGGCCTTTATACATGCCGCTTTGCTAGTTCGTCTGTTTGCCTCGTCCGAGTGTGCATTACAGAATAGTATGCACCTGTATCTGCATATTTATTTCTACTCGGGGGCAGAGGGCGCTGTGAGAGCCTCTTTCGAGCACTGACGCGCACGAGAGGAAGAGGCTTGGTGAAGAAGATGGCAATAACGCGACGCCGATCAATCCTATGCCGTTCTCTTCATCTTTATGCCCCCAGTTCGCTTGCTGGCCTGCCCTCTCTGGGGTCGGCTTGCAGCTGCTGTGTAACTGTCATTCATTATACATGCGCGTTTGCAATATCCATCTATTACCCCCCTCTTTTCTCCCGGCCCGAAAGTTATTGGCTTTGGGGTGCTTACTCTCCTGGGGTCCGTTGTTTTTTTGGCGGTGTTAACACGATTTATGCTCTGTATGACGTCAATATTGCGGCTGTTCCATGGGCCCCACCCTCGGTTTGCAGTCGCCACCACCGCTGACCGGCCGGGCGTGGAACTGTGCACAACGGAAGGCCATGCATGATCTGGAGAGCTAGGCACCTAGATGCTGTGCAGGGCTCTTCTTTGACGGTATGTTTGAGTGAGCGAGTACATCAAGCTTGACTCTTTTCTGACCAGCGCAAGGTTTCTTTCAGAGCCGCCCCGCAACGCCATCGACTCGACTCTGCACCGAAAAAATGTGTGAATGGGGTTAGTGTGAGACTGGAGTGGCTCAAGCGCAGCGTCAAAGTGGCGCCGTTCTGCATCTCTATCCTTGCGGGATTGGATTGGCGCAAGCATCCGCCGCGGCGTTAAACAGGCAGATTACCCCCCTCCCCGCTGCCCTGACTGGTCCTGATCACGTGATGCGGATTCTCCTCAAGATCACGTAACCAAACTGAGCTGGAGGAAGCTGCAACGATCAAGAGCCTTGCGCTCACCAACAAAGTCACCCCCGGACAACAGGCGCACACAAGTGGACAGCGAACCACCCGGCACAGGCGAGCCGCGCCTCCATTTGCTCGCATGTGACCATCCAGTCAATCTCACCAGCACGGCGGCACCGATCGGGACGGAGCGAATGCTGCCGCCGTCTTCGAGCGGCGCGTTTCCGCAGCATCACGCAGACGAGGACGCGATCACAGAGAGCCTCTTCGCGTCCATCGAGCACGACTGTGAGCAGCTCACGCATTCCCCTCTCTCCTTCTGCTGCGGCCAGACTGCTAAATTTGCTTGAATTTGGACGGGACGGGGTCGCGCGCAGTGACAGACCATCAGATCTTGGCGCTGTCCAGCATCTTCGACAAGTTGCTCATCCCCGCGCTCGACTTGGTCGATCGCGGTAAAGGTGAGGGCTGCACCAGCGCTCCTCTGCATCTCTCTCTCTC